ACGCCCCGCAGCCCCTTGTCCACGGACCTTCACCGCCACACAGCGTATATGATTCCCATGATGCCGTCGTCGTCGCCTCTCCAGCAATCGTTTCACCACAATAAACACCAGCATCAACAGTATGTGCTGGCTGTGCAGGCGTCGTCAGACTACCTCGGCAGCGTTGACCAAGTGCCAGTGCGTCCCCTCAGTACAATCTTGCGCCAGCTGTCCAACCTGTCAACGCTTCCGCCGTCCCAAGTGACTAATGTGACGTTGGAGACCATCCACCATCATGACACGGCCATTGGCGTTCACGTGGTTGTGGCTAAACGGGTGCCGTTGGCCGGCTACGCATTGCTAGTCGCAGCCCTGGTCACGATTTCGTCGTTGGGGGCTGCGCTGGATCTGCAGCAACAAGTCGATCCGTTCGTCAAGTTATTTTGGCGCACGACGGCATCTCTCCTCGGGTTTCTCCCGTTTGCGTGTTACGGATTGTACGAGCGGGGATGGCCCAAGTTGACGCTACGCCTCGTGGGATTTTTTGGTGCGAGTTCCATCTCGTATGCCCTCTTCCTCATGACGTTCCTGTGGTCGCTGAACCACACCACGATCGGCCACGCGTACATCTTTAACAACTGCCACTCGCTCCTGATTGTGCTTGGAAAGGTCGTCCTCGGCTACCCCGTCGTGCTGTTTGAAATTATTGGGTCTGGGCTCGGCCTTGTGGGTGGCGTAATCACGACGATGGACCATGCAGCCAGCATCCCTGAAGTCAAGTCGTCCGTGGTGCAGTCGTCGTGGCAGGGCGACGTAGTGGCGTTGATCGGTGCCGTCGGCGGCGTGTTCTACCTCCTGACGGCAAAAATACTCCGCCAAGAAATGGACGTGTTTGTGTTCATGACGCTGCTCTTCACAGCGACGGCGTTCCTCCATATCCCGGTCTTCTACGCGTTGGATATCGACATTCGATGGACGTTGGACCATCACGTTGGGTGGTTGGGATGGGTGCAACCTGATATGCTCGGCGTCGAACTTTACCTGGTTTTCGTGTGCACGATCATCGGTACCGTTGGGTACATCAGTGTGATGAAGTACTTTGACCCGATTGTCGTGAGCGTCGTGATGCTTCTCGAGCCCATCTTGGCTACAGCCATGGGCGTATTTGTAGGTGTTGATGCTGTTCCTGGATGCCTCACTTGGATCGGTGGGTTCCTCGTCATACTAGGCACGGGCCTTGTCGTCCTCGCGTCCAGCAACAAGTCCGAATCGCACGACGTGTCCGACGCAGTCTACAAAACCCCAACTTCCGCCACTGTATACAGCTTCAAGCTCAAGGCGTAGTCCGTAAGAAAGAGAGATATGCACTCGTAATGGAACGACAATCCCACTTAACATGACGGACGACGGGAACGGCAGCAGCCCCAACCGCTGCCGCCGGCGGATGTAACCGGCCCAAAAGTTTGAATTGAACGTTAGTGATTGGCTCGTTTCGAGCGGGTGCAAGATCGGACGGCCGCATATTCGATTTTTCGGCATGGAGCACGGTGAAGACCGCGACCACAAGAGGCTCCTGGAAGAGACAAACGCGCTCCTCAAGCTCACTGGGTATGGAAACCACGCATTTGAGAACATCAACGAGCTTGTCAGCAGTATCTCGTCGATGTGTGTTGCCCTCTATGAGCGTTTCTTCGACGTGCGTCTCGACAACGTCCGCCGTGAGCCACGCACTCTCGACGATTACAGCCATAATGCTCAACTTGTTGTGGATGGCCTGTCCGCCGCTCTTCTCACGGAAGAACTGCAACATGTGACTGGTGCCAAAGTATGTGGTGGTGACCTTGCCTGCATTCGTGAACTCGTTCGGGTGTTGACTCAAGTCTACCAAGTGCTGCATCGGCCTGCGTCACGACTGGCTTCCAGCAGTAGCAGCAACGATTTGGCCCTGGATGAAACGTTCTACATCAAGCGGCAGCCCAAGAAGAAGAAGTCAAGGACTAAAAAGAGTGCAAACACGAGCAGCAAAACCACCATTGAACTGGGTGATCCATCATTGCTCACCACTAAAAAATACGGCCGCTTTGTACCTCTTGGTGGATCATCCAATGCTGGGAGCAACAATGGCGGCAACGACAGGTGGCCGCAGCCCAATGGGGCTTCGAAAGCGTCTCGCGGCAATCAGTCCACGGCATCCCGGCCACGGTCGTTCACCTCAGCAAAGTCCAAATCCAACGCAGTTTCGAACTCAACTCGACCTCCCACAACATCGACGCCAGTGGTCCGAGCGCTCGGCTTTGGAAGCGTATCGTCTGTGTCATTAGCCGATAGTGGCGACAACGAGCTCACTGGTCTGACTTTTTCAGACTCGAACGACGATCTCACGTCAGTGAGTCGCTTGAGCCGCGAGTTATCCGAGGGGGCATCGGAACTGGCAGGTGTGCCTCCTCGACAAGACACGCGGCACGAGCATGATGGAGGGTCCCTGCATGTTGACGATTTGGCTGCGCCGCAGGAGAAGCCCCCCACTCCACCATCTCAGTTGTCCAAACCGCTTCAGTCAACCCAAGCGATTTTTCCATCGTCCTTCACGTCATGGAATGCCGACGACGCGCCTCGATCACCCGAACCCACGAAAAGTCGGCCTGTCACGATCCAGCAGCCACCCGCGGCGCCGTCTAAACTCTTCAAATCCCATGTTGCCAAAGTAATGGATGCATCCACAGTTACCCTGTTATCTAACCAGATGATTAGGTGCGACCCCTTCACCGCGTGGCAACCCCTGCATCGAAAGATCGCGTGCAGCAACGACGATACAAGGCCCTACTGAACGAACATGTCAAAGACATGCGAGTGGTAATGCCATTTCTTGAGAGGCGGCCAACTCACCATTCGCGTAGAAAGAAATGAAGTTGAACCAGCACATCGCACGGTCGTTTCAAAATCGAAAGCACGCCGATCACATTGAGCAGGTACGTCCTGCCAGTTGAACGGTGGACCTGATATCGTGCTTAGATTCGAACCAAAAAGCTGCACGACGAGCTCAAGCTGCAACGAATAGCCCTCAGCGTCCAGCAGAAACGAGTCGAAGCACAAAACTTGAAGAATACGATGGAACACATTCTCTCGCTGGAAAAGATGCGCCTCAAGCAGGAGCATGAAATGACGACAGCAGCTCTCCACGCCATCCACCGACAGCACGCAGACCGAGAGCAGGCCTTGGAGAACTAGTACGTTGAACTATGGGATACACCTTAGTGGCTAACGCACGTCGTGTGTGCACAGCTTTGCCAACCAAATCGAGTTGGTCAAGGAGCAGCGCGAACACGAAGTGCGCGAACGAACCCTGGTTCAACAGGCACACAAACTCGTACGTACATCTGGCCAAATGCAACTGATTGAAGAGCGTCGCACCATGAGTAGGCTTCTGAACAAATGCTTCGGGAACTTAGAAGCAGTCGAGAAATGGAGGTCGCGGCGTTGATGGAGCAGAGAAGACACTTGGCTGACGTCCAACAAGTGCGCCAAGAGTGGAAAGCGGAGCGATTCGTTCAGCAAAAGACAATGCACTTAATGGACTTTTCAAAGAAGAAGATGGATCCGTTTTACGCGGCAGCCATGAAGTCGCGGGCCAAGCGGATTGAGGGTGCGATACAGACTGGGGCCAAAGGACGAATTGTGAAAAGTGTTGACAAATGAAAGAATATTCGGATGGATCGAGCATCCGGATGCGGTGTGCCATTGATATCCGAGCAACTCGAGGATCCCATCATAATGGGGCTGCTTACGATCTTGAAGAAGGTCAAACAAAAGGAGAAGGAGCTTCGCATCCTGATGCTGTATGCCTTCAGAGCTATTCAAATCATCGTCAGCTCATGCTGCCGTGCGTAGAGGCTTGGACAATGCGGGGAAGACGACTATTCTGAAGAAGTTCATGGGCCAGGACATCACATCAATCAGCCCCACGCTTGGCTTTGACATTCAAACACTCGAATACAAGCAGTACAAGCTAAACGTATGGGACGTGGGTGGTCAACAAACGATTCGGTCGTATTGGCGCAACTACTTTGAGCAAACGGACGGACTTGTGTGGGTCGTTGACAGCGCCGACCGCCGTCGACTGGAAGCTTGCAAGCGCGAGTTGATGGCGTTGCTAACCCAAGAAAAGCTGGCAGGAGCCACGCTTCTTATATTCGCCAACAAACAGGATCTCCCTGGCGCGCTAAGCCCCGAAGACATCGTGTTGGCATTGGGCCTTCACGAAAGGCAATTTGCTAATCGCCACTGGAAGATTCAATCGTGCAGCGCGTTCACCGGTGATGGATTAGCCGATGGCATCGACTGGATGGTGAACGACATCTCGAACCGAATTTTTATGCTGGAGTAACTTGAAAGAAGCTGGTTTCAACTGCACTCGTGGCCATGCAACGGACGATCCAGCATCCAAGTTATCGTGACGAAAGCTAACTCCTCTCCTACAGAAACTTGCTCAGGATCAAGAAACTATTAGTATCTGTGCAAACAGAGAGCTAAAGGAAGTTGGTGAAGTTACTCTGAACGATTCCTTCGGGTTAGCTGCTTGACCACACGATTGTGCGACCATGGGTGGGACATCCGAGGCTTTGGATGGATACATCTGGCTATCTCCGTTAGTAGGAATCGTGCGCATGAATCCGTTCATTCCATTGTCTATCAGCTGGGCAAGCTTGTTGCAGCGTAAACGTTCATGGACTCATGGACATGTGAGCGCGCAAGTGCCGTCCGCGGACATTTTGGTGTGTCGAAGCTGCGCCGAGATCTTGAGACGACGTGGTGACAAAGCAACAGGACCTATTTCATTGGTTATAAATGTAAGTTATTCGATATAATATTGACCAATTGTTGATCACGAAAGGTTGCCTCTGACGGGTGTTCCATATTCAGCCGTGAGCGACTGCAAATCGGCACGAATGATCAAGGGGGTGCTCATTGTGAACAACCACGGGAAGGCGCGCATCGTCAAGTTCTACGAGCATGTGGTACGTCTGACTTTCTCTTCCATGTCTTGTTGTATACTGGTACATGACGATATGTTCGGCAGCCCGACGCCGAGCAGCAAGCCGTCATCCGGGACATTTACACTCAAGTGTCGAAGCGACCGGACACGTTGTGCAATTTTCTGGAAGGCAGGTAGGTATCGCTGTCGGACTAAATGGCAGAGAAAGCGTATATATCCTCAAAGTAGTTGATTTTGTAGTGTGCGCTACTGGGGAGATGGCATCAAGCTCATATACAGGCATTATGCAACTCTGTACTTTGTGTTTGCTGTCGACAAGCAAGAGAGCGACCTGGGCATTTTGGACCTCATTCAAGGTAGGGAAGCGTGCGCCTCCAACGTGGCAAGCTCATTGCATATCATCAGTTTTTGTGGAAACCCTCGACAAGTGCTTTGAAAACGTGTGCGAACTCGACTTGATCTTCCACAGCGACAAGGTCCACTACGTGCTGGATGAAATCGTGATGGGCGGCATGGTGCTGGAAACAAACATCAACGAGATTCTCACCGCCGTCAATGAGATGAACAGACTGGACTCGAACTCGACCAAGCGATCGCTTCCTGGAACGGGCAAGAAGTAGGCAGCTTTCACAGTTCCATCGTAAAGGCAGAAATATGTGGTTGCTTTATCATGATTTACACCATGACACTCTTGGTCTTGGGGGCAGTCTTAGCCTTTTCTTGCAAATCCAACTCCACCTGGCGCAAAGCTTCCGCTTCCGCGGCCTTCTCCAGCTCGTCCTCCGTCAACACGACAATGTTCAGCTCCTTCAATCGGTCTTCCAGCCGAGACACATACTTGGCGAGCTTCTCGTTCTTATTCTGTTCTTCCTTGACCGCGTTATTCGAGTTTACGAGCTGAATTGACAGCGATAGTGTCAAAATAGTCACTCCCACGTTGAAGGCATTGAGAGGCTGGTTGGCCAAGTGCGACAAGAAGGATTTGGGGTATTCTACATGAACATGTCAGAATGCTACGTCCTTTAGATGTTCTGACTAACGTACCTGGTTTCTCGGGTGCGGCCTTGGCGGCCGTAGAGAGCGCGCGGCTCATCGAGCGGCGCAACATCGTCAACTGCGTCGAGGAATGGTTGAGGAGTGGCGTATCCGGATATGGCCGCTCGACGTCCAACAGGTATCCGGATGTTTATGTTGAAACGGCGGGCGGCAATAAATATAGATCCGCGTGGTCACTTTGAATACCGTCTCGCCATGAACGGTGACGAGCCAACGAGACCGCTGCCGCTCAAGACCAAGTTCCAAATCGGCGGTACCCAAGCTCCAGTCAACTACAAGTTCCAAGAGTCGTGTTTTCATATTGATGACACACCACCGCAGAAGATTGCAGCGAAACACGAAGTTCAGGCTTCGTTAAGGTCCAAGATACTGTCGACAGAACGGCCAAGCTGGGACCAGGCGACGACAGAGTCATGCATTCTTCGGACAAACTGCTACAAGCGCACTTTTGCAAATGGCGAGGTAGGTTCTCTTGCAACAGCACGGACACTGAATCGGTGTAGATGAATCATGGCAACATGTACCAATACAATTATCGAGCTGAAAAGTTGCCAGACAAGTACCCAACACTGCTGGCAAAGCCCACTAAATTCAACCAGGGCATTCTGGAAGTTCTTCAGCAGGATATCAAGCCCGGTGAAACCTTTGGTGACAAACGAATGCAACGCGTAAAAATTTGTTTACCACGTAAAGTGGATGAAGTGCCTGAACAGCCTTGTAGGGTATTTGCAAGCGAACCGAAGAGCTACCAAATCACCCCGACTTGAGGGACTCTGTGCCGTGGAATTCTTCTGTGGTCAAGTCGAAGCAAGACTTGCGCACGACGGTAAGTACGATCTGCTGAGCGCGAATTCATGCGTTCACTTGGACCATGACAGTTCAAGGCTGCCGAAGCGGCAAGGATAGTCAACTCTGAGAAGTCAATCAAGTCGTTAGAGAGCTACAAAACCCCACAAGAGCTGTACACGGAGCAGCTACAGCGTGAACGAGACGAAAAGGCAAAAAAACGAGCAATGACGTAGCAATCGTGTATCGAACAGTCGCAATATCCGGATATTTGTGTAACTGGTCGTTATCCGGATATCCCTCCACCCGAAAGGGCGTCAGAGATATTTGAATATGTCGGAGCCGAGTCCGCCGGAGAGCTTGGTGAAGTACGACGCCCCCATCTTCACAGGCGAGCACAATGAAGGAGGCAAGAAGGCCAAACCAGCACCAGGCACGAAAATAGATCCCGTCTCACGCATCGAAGACGTATTGAATGCGATGCTCCCACCACAGTAAGACACACTCTTTGTTCGATGCGATTCGTCCAAACAACTCTACGCGTGCTTCCAGAACATGGAAGGAGGAAACAGGTCATTGGATGCGCTACACGTCCGCAGAACCATCCACTCGATTTGACGTGATCAAGCTTCAAGTATGAGCAACAGAGTTGTCGACATTGGCACTGCACGACATTCTCTCCTTGTCTGTAGGAACAAATGGATGCCAAGCTGATTAAACGTCAAGCGCGTGAAAGCGGGATTTGCAACGTTCGCGAAGACATATACGCTCAGTGCTTTGGTGTGTATTTTAGTCGCTGCCTGAGCTGACAACGTGCCGCAGATGAACTCATACGAGAAGTCACGATCAATTCTCCGGAACGAGGTCTTCTGCTTCTGCGCATCCGAGATGAAATTCGCATGACCACTGATGCGTACAAGACGTTATACGACAGCAGCATCACGTTCGGCGTGCGGAAGCAGTTGCAGGCCGAGCAAGGGATGGGGTCGATCGAAGACAAGGTGCATCATGACGTGGAATGATTCCGCACGTGACCAGTTGCATCCAGATTGCGTTGCTTGCAGAAGAAAAGCGAGAGTACGAGAACAAGGTGCTGGAGCTGACCAACAAATTGGAAGTGATCGAAAAGCGCGGGAGCGAGCGACGTGCGCTGCAGGAGAAGCGATACAAAGAAGAAATTGAGTTCCTCAAGTACCAAGGGCAGCACTTGGACGCGTTCCTCAAGTCTGCCGGGGGAGCAGGCAAGTAAGTGTAGGTTCATCATGTTGTACAAGCGGCTTGTCATGGAAATATCTGTCTGCTGTGCTGGACGGCTACAAATCAAAATTCTTCAAATGAATCTCAGCATGCGCGTACGACTCCGCCACGACGTGGCCGTTGATAAGAAACAAATGTGGCTCGGCCACGTGGAGGCACACGTAGTTGATCGACTGGACTAACGAGTGAGACGATTGTGTCGTGGGTAAAGTGACCTACCATGCAGTTGTACTCGAGGTGCACGACCTTGACGAAAGGGTCCAGGACGTAGAACACATCCCGCTCCGTCATTTTCGTGTACGCGACGCTGTCCAAGTGGTATATTGACACGGCACAGCACGTTTGCGCCTCGTCCATCATGACAAAACACCTTCCAAAACATCTCGATCGTTGGAACGATGCACGGGGTTGGACTTACCCAGGTGGCTCGTTTCCTCGGACTACATCCACGAGCAGCTTTAATGCGACGACCTTCCCTTCATTGTGGCCTTGCCTATTTTATCCTCAGTAAGTCAACATGGGCACCACCATATTCACGGGAAGCAATCCTTACTGCAAGGATGAGATCGACACACGAGTTCGCCCTTGGACTTCACACACAGGCGGCAACGCAGATGCCAATTGCGCAATGCGGGTGACTTTGAACCTCCCCTGCCATGTGGAGTTCTTTTTATCGACGGCCACGAACGACTTGTCCATCTTACCTTATGATGGATTAAGTTGGAAACTCGAAGCGTCCACCGAAGAATACCATCCACGATCGCCATCGCGCGAAGCGACGGATCCAGGGCATGCGCCTTGCAAAAGCTCTGCACTGCAAGCGCATAGTCTTCTTTGTAACGATGCACCTACGACAAAAACGTGAAGTGCTGCATAGGGCAAATATAGGCCGAACGTTGGCTCGATTGAAGTGCAGGTCGGGGTTGTTGGCCGCCCCTCCGGCTTCCTGCAGTGACCCAAGTAGTTTAGACTCAAATATGTCAGTCATGATTCCACGGTACAGCTCGAGCGTAGGCGGCGAGCGATCGGTCCAAGTCGACTGTGCTGTGGGAGCAAGCAAAGAACAAGGCGAGGTACGCGTTGCCCATGACATCTACACATGTTAGTGAGATCAGTGGCATCGGTGGCTCTTGGCCAGGGCACGCACACCACGATTCACCATCCTGGATGTCCAAATTCAGCGCTGCCTTTGCGTGGGTGATGCTGGCCTACGAGGTAGTATTGTAAAAATTGAATCATACAAACTGAGCGTCTGCAAGACCTTGATATTGCTGGTCTTTTCTTCGACGTTGGTGCCCATTTTCCTCAATACCATGGATAGGCTCCGCAGCGCATGCTTGCTAGGCCCATAATCCAAGCACGATTCAAAGCAGTTCTTGGCAGCCTCCAGATCGCCCTTCTTCCAAAAGCAGTTTCCAAGAGATACCCAAATGTCCGAATTGCATGGATCAAGCTTGGCCTAACGACAGTGTGAGCGCTTAAAATGACAGACTCTGTACCGCTTTCGTGAGCAATGCCTCAGACGACGGGTTGTACTCGGGAAATACTTCGAGCGCTTTGCCTTGAATGTACCACGCAGTGGCTTTCAATTCGCGAGAGTTAGATCGATCCATGCCGACATCATCGACAAGCGCCATCACTTCATCGACCAGTGCTTGCAGCTTGAGCTACGTGTCCAAGTAATGAGAAAGTACACAATCATGCACACACAAACCACCTTCTTTTCCTCTTTGTTAGCGCTGAAAAAGTGGTCATGTATGCTGTAGAGCTCGTCCAACTTTGCCAAGGCCACCTCCATGCTGTCTCTTCGACAGAGTGTTCGATGCCTCCAAAGGATACAACACTATATTCGGATCCGGATACGTGGATTAGACCTGGCCTCCATCACCTTCACATCCAGTCTGTGCGTGTGGTTTGGCGGTACTCGAGCAGCTCAGGATAGCGTAATTTCCGCCCAGGACCAAGTGGCTCGTGCCCTTAGTAGTTCAATGGTCGCTTCGGCAACAGAGTATGTAGCGCATTGCCTGCGACAGATATTTCCGTGGAAGTTCCATTGATGCATGGCGAAGTTGACGATCGAAATATGTGGGACAGGCTCGAAATAAAATAGTCTTTCGTGCAGTCTCCCATATTTTATTTCATGCAATCAGGTAAAGTGAAAGGAACAATAAAAAATACGCCATTAATTATTTTGAAAATACAGCATAGAATACTCTTTTCACAATGGATGGTACTATCGGTTTGAGATCAGTGCGACAACGATGGGATTTGCGCTCACGTTGATTGAAGATGCGCTCGGAAGCATTGCTCCGTCGACAACGCCGAAGAAGCGCCCACTGAACATCCGTCCGTCGAAAAATGCCCTCTTTCACTTTGACATGGTCCGTCCGTTCGTGTATTCGCAGGAAGAGCCTCCACATGCGTCATTCCTACGGTATGACTGGGTTGCTGCGTCAGGGCCGGACAATAGCGCGGCGACCGCCGTCAAGTCTGTGAGTCCGGAATGGCTTGTTAGAGTTTGTGAACAACATGCACTGCTGCATGACTCTCCGATCCCAGGGTCAGAATTGGCATCGTCGATTGTAGACTCCCTCAAAAAGAACGACGCAGAATCGTTGTTGTTCAACCTGTTGGGATTCGATGGCATTGAACTCATCCAAGAGATCCTGTCTGCCCGCGCGTCGATACAAACGTTTACGACACGACAACTCACTCGCGCTGCAGCTGTGACGTCGGCGACTACGCCGCCTCGGTCCCCTTCCAGCAAGTCCAAGAAAGCCTCTTCTGTGAGCATCTCGAGCGAGTTGGACCAATATGTGTCTAAGCACCAGCGAAAGGAAGCTCGTCGCAATCAGCGCCGTAATGGCGGTGCCGCAATGGACGAAAAGCAGAATTGGCTGGAAGCGGCGGGGTACGACATGGATATTGTGGAGGCCCTTCGAGAAAGCAACATCGACCGCAAGGCGAATGCATCAACGTCGCTGCTAAAGGAACAGTTTGGGGAAATGGAATACGAAACGAACACAATCGCGTCTGGGTTGCCGGCGGGGGCGATCAAGACAGTCGAGAAGGGTTACGAAAAGGTGTTCATCCCAGCCAAGGTGCAGACTCCGCTGACCGTGAACGAGCTGGTGCCGATCTCTCGCATGGACCCGTTCACGTACAGCGTGTTTGAAGGCATCACGCACTTCAATCGACTCCAGTCCAAGTTGTTTGAAGCCGCGTACAACTCGAACCAAAACCTCCTTGTGTGCGCGCCGACAGGTCCGTTTTCGACGTTGGCGGTCTCTTTTCATAGACATACTATAGGGGCGGGGAAAACAAACGTGGCAATGATGACGATTTTACGAGAGGTCAAGTCCAATTTGAACGCAATCACGGGGCGCGTCGACTCTAGCACGATGAAGATCATTTACGTTGCGCCCATGAAAGCGCTGGCCCAGGAAGTTGTAACGCGGTTCTCGAAGCGGCTCAAGTCGCTGCACATTAACGTGGCCGAGCTCACGGGGGATATGCAAATGACAAAGGCACAAATAGAAGAAACCCACGTGATCGTGACGACGCCAGAGAAATGGGACGTGATCACGCGCAAGACTCATGAGCAGGCGCTTCTCACGCAGGTGCATTGAACTACGCTTTACAACTGGACGTTGTTGGTGTCGTGTCTGTCCATAGGACTGGGATTTCTGACAATCTTGTTTGAGCAGGTGAAATTGCTCATCATTGACGAAGTCCACCTGCTCGCGGACGAACGCGGTCCGGTTATTGAAACAATCGTGGCGCGGACGTTGCGCCGCGTGGAGTCGACGCAAACGATGATTCGCATTGTCGGGCTGTCCGCGACGTTGCCAAACTACAAGGACGTTGCAGAGTTTTTGCGCGTGTCGTTTCCGCCGAACGAGGCAAGCGGCGGCGGCTTGTTCCATTTTGATGCGTCTTACCGCCCAGTGCCCCTCGAGCAAACGTTTGTCGGCATCACGGACAAGGGCCGAACAAAGCAGCTCATGGCGATGAACCAACTCGCGTACGAATACGCTGTCGACAACATCCAACGCGGCCACCAGGTCATGATCTTTGTGCATTCCCGAAAGGAAACTGCTGTCACGATCCGAGCGATCTTGGACTTGGCGGCCAAGCACGGCACGATGGACTTGTTTGCGTCGAACCAAACCCCGGTCAAGGAATCGATGGCCGTCACCCTCGACGCGCTCTTAAGGAAATCTCGCAACACTGACGTCCGGGAGTTTGCCCCGAGCGGCTGCGGCATCCACCACGCCGGTATGCTTCGAAGCGACCGCAACTTGACCGAGCAGCTCTTTGAAAACGGACAAATCAAAGTACTGTGCTGTACGGCCACGTTGGCGTGGGGGGTCAACTTGCCGGCCCACGCGGTGCTGATCAAAGGAACCCAAATTTACAACGCTGAAAAGGGTTGCATGGTCCCGCTCAGCATGCTCGACGTGATGCAGATCTTTGGGCGCGCCGGTCGACCTCAGTACGACACTTCAGGGGAAGCCACGATTGTGACGACGCACGATCAGCTCGACCATTACCTGCGGTACGACGTCGTCAGAATAAGAATGTATTCACCACATCGAGCGTAGGGCATTGGCAAACCAGGCCCCGATCGAATCTGCGCTGATCAAAACGTTACCGGACCATTTGAATGCAGAAATCGTGTCTGGCACCGTGGCCAACCTGCCTGAAGCGTTGGCATGGCTCAGCTACACTTATTTGTTTGTTCGAATGATGAAGAACCCCATGACGTATGGAATGTCGTTTGACGAGCGAGCGAATGACCCCATGCTCGTGAACAAGCGGACCGAACTTCTCAAGCAAGCCATTCAGACTCTCGAAGACGCCCGCATGATCAAATACGACCAAAGGTAAAGGCACGGACGCGTGTCGAACGGTTTTTCAATTAAAGCATTAGGCGAGGCGACTTCGCCGTGACAAATTTGGGTCGGGTGGCCAGCCATTACTACATTACGCATGGCACGGTGGAAACGTTCAACGAAATGCTGAATCAAAACATGGAGGACGAAGACATCCTGCACGTGATATGCTCGTCTGCGGTATGTGACTACGAGATTTAAAAATTGGCTCACCCATTGTGGGGATGTAGGAATTTGAACAAGTGCAGGTGCGAGAGGACGAACTAGTCGAGCTCGAACGCGTCAAGAAGATGTGCAAATTGTCCATTAAAGGCGAAAATGCGTCGTCGGGCAAGGCCAACATTTTGCTGCAGGTGCGTGCCACATCCACTGCTTTACCTTGGTGGCGTAACGGGGGTCGTAATGAATGTTGTCCAGGCGTATATCTCCAATACCTCGTCGAGATTGACCAATTTCACGTTGATTTCCGACACGAATTATGTGGCGCAAAATGGGTCTCGCGTCACGCGAGCATTGTTTGACATTTGTCTCAAGAAAGGGTGGCCCCTTGCAGCCGAAAAGGTGCTCAACATTGCCAAGGCGATCGACCACCGCATGTGGTGGACGCAGTCGCCACTTCGGCGTTTTCTCAACGTCCTGCCGTTCGACGCGGTCGCTCGCCTCGAGGAGCGCTACGATATCGACACGCTGTTCACGCTCAGTGCGGACGAGATTGGCGTCGCCGTGCACAGCCCGCGCGTGGCCGAAAAGGTTTGTTAGTGTCTTGCTGCATTTCATCGAGGATTTGATTCATCTTGGCACAGATTGTACAACACATGCGGTATTTGCCGTACTTAACTGTGGACGTCCGCGTCCAGCCGCTGACTCAAGGCATTCTCAAAGTGTCTGTCGATGTCTCTTGCGACTTCGAGTGGAATGACTTGTACCACGGATCTGTCGAAGCGTGGTGGATGTGGGTGGAGAACGAAAACGCCATGTACCACGCCGAGCACGTCTTGCTTCACAAAGCTCAGCGCCTCGACGTCATTCAGTGCACGTTCCACGTCCCCATGTTCCAAGGCAGCACCCCTGATTACACTCTCCGCCTTCTCTCGGATCGTTGGGTCGGCGTCGATAGCTGCCATCCGATTCAAATTCCTGACGCAACCGACAAGGCCCCCGATCCAGTGTACTACACGCCGCTGCTTCGTTTGCATCCGTTACCCGTGTCCGCGTTGAAGCAGCCTGCATTCGAAGAACTCTATTCGTCATTTTCGTTCTTCAACCCGATCCAAACCCAACTCTTCCACACGATGTACCACACAGACGGAAATGTTCTCCTGGGGGCGCCGACGGGGAGCGGCAAGACGATTGTGGCAGAACTGGCCATGCTGCGCCTGTGGAACGTCCAGGAGCGTCACAACATCGTCGTGTACGTGGCGCCACTGAAGGCGCTGGCGCGCGAACGGGTTAAAGATTGGACCCGCAAGTTTGAGCGCACGATGGGCAAGAAAGTGGTCGAACTCACGGGGGACACGACAGTCGAAGCGCGGGTGTTGAAGCAAGCCTCGATCATTGTCACGACGCCAGAAAAATGGGATTTGGTTACACGTACAATCCATGCGACATCGTTCGTCCACATGGTGCGGCTCGTGCTGCTGGACGAAGTGCATTTGCTTGGCGAAGATCGCGGCCCGGTACTAGCGATCTCGGTGTTTCTTATGTGAAAGACTTCGACTAGGTTCTGGAAGCAATTGTGTCGCGCATGCGCATGCTTCGCCAAGCCATTCGTCTGGTGGGGTTGAGCACGGCGCTGGCAAATGCACTCGATGTGGGCAAATGGTTGGGCATTGCCGATCCTGCCCACGGCATTTTTAACTTCCGCGCGTCTGTGCGTCCCATCGCTATGGACGTGCACATTCAAGGGTTTGCCGGCCGCCACTATTGTCCTCGCATGACGGCCATGAACAAACCCACGTACCACGCGATTCAATCGCATTCCCCTACCAAACCAGTTCTGGTTTTTGTATCGTCGCGCAGCCAGACCCGGCTGACGGCGATGGCGCTCATCTCGTTCGCAGCCCTTGCTGGGACACCCAAGCAATTTCTGTGGGAAGATGAAGACATCATGGCGACGTGGGTCGACCAGGTGCGCGACCCCGCGCTGCGAGACACCTTGCACTTTGGCATTGGGTTGCATCATGCCGGTACGGATATCCGTTCAACTTTCCAGTTGCAGCAACATGTATGATAGGCTTGGGGTCACGAGATCGCGAGATTGTCGAGGAACTGTTTTTGAACAACAAGATTCAAGTCGTCCTTTGCACGTCGACATTGGCGTGGGGCGTGAATTTACCGGCACACTTGGTCGTGGTCAAAGGAACAGAGTTTTATGACCCCAAGCATGGCCGGTACACCGACTACCCCATGAGTGACCTCCTCCAAATGATTGGTCGCGCGGGACGGCCCCAGTTCGACACGAGCGGCGTTGCGTGTGTCCTTGTGCAAGACATAAAGCAAAACTTTATCAAGCGCTTCATCTACGAGCCGCTGCCCGTGGAATCGTCGCTTCACTTGCACTTGGACAACACGCTAAACGCAGAAATCGCCAATGGCACGGTCAAGTCGGTGGCCGACGCGGTCAAGTATTTGTCGTGGACGTTTCTATTCCAGCGAGTGCAGAAGAACTCAGCCTACTACCAAATCGATACGACAGTCGAAGATTTCTTCAAGAAGCTCGTGTCGTCCATCTTGCAACGGCTCGTGCAAGCACGATGCTGCACGCTCGCCAAAGGCGTGGTGCAACCGACGGCGCTGGGGAAAATCGCAAGTGCGCAGTACCTAGAGTGCAGATCGGTCCAGCATTTGCACGATGCGCTGAACGGCTTGGCCGACGACAAAGTGTCGACGTTCTCGCTGATTCGCATTGTTTGCGGGTGCGTTGAGTTTGCCCAGTTGCCAATTCGACCGCAGGAAGAGCGCTTGATTGTGTCGCTGGCGCAGCAATGCCGCTTTCGAGAACGGACGTGGAAGTGGGACACCCACAGCTCACAGCTCAAGTGCCTCCTCCTCGTTCAAATGCATTTGGGGCAAGTTCCGCTGCCGTCTAGTGACTTTTGGAACGACCTGCGACTTGTACTGGACCACCTTCCTCGCATTCTGGGGGCCATGATGGACCTCGCCGCGCTCATCGGTCGTCCGTCGGTCGTGCTCGCCATCAACCAGCTAAGCCAGGGTGTCTTGTATGGCTACTGGCCCCACGCGCAATCGTGGTGGCAATTGCCGCACGTGACGTCGGACGAACTGGCGTCGTTCCCTGAAGAGTTCGATGGATCGATCGACCAAGTCAAGAGAGCGCTGCCTCGTCGTCTGTCGGACAAGCAGCGCCAGGAGTGCCTGGCTGTGGTGGACAAGATGCCACAAGTTTCATGGACAACCACTACATCCGGGAACAATCAAGTCCAAGTGCACATTCAAGTGCACAACTCCAAGCTTCAATCGATCATCACAAATCGATGGACAAAGCCTCGGCCGCACTTGCTGTACCTCTTGGTGGTGGGCGACGATGGCCAGTTGCTGGCATTGCTGCACTTGCCATATCGAAAGACTATCGAGCGGTCGTTGCCCTCGGGCGTGAAAAACTACACGATCCAAGTCGTGTCGAACTGCAGCATGGTGCATGTAGTCAAGACGGCCAAGTAGAACATTCGAGGAAGTGCCATGGAATAGAACGATTCCATATCAATGTCTTACGAAGCACCTGCATCTCCCCCTCTTGCCACCAGGGGCTAAAGACGAACACGATTACATGGAATGTGGCTGCGCCACCCTCTTCGTTCAAAGCCTCCGCAAGACGACGAGGATGCTCCTTTCCCAGGGATCCTCCAGCATAGAGTAGGTGTGGACTCTCTCAAAGTCGGGATGAGGATGGGACCAGAACGACGGGGCGAGCGATGCGCCGACGTGGGTCCATCGGTTGCCTGTCGACGTCACTTGACACGAGGACCACCCGCCGACGTTCGTCCTTCCACTTGGTGACCTGTACAACAATCTTAAAGTCGTGGCCAGACTCGATCTGATTAGTCCCAGAATCCCGTGGAGATTTCACTTCAAGCAACTGGCGAGCACAACACGGGGACGAAAGGCGACGGTATTGCGAATGACCTTGCCATACAGGGGAAGGGGCAGGTGGTGGTCGCGGCGTCGAGTCGCCGTGCGCGTACATGGTGCACATCACGTTCCGTTGAGAGTTTGTACTGCGCCGAGCGCAAGCGGCGCGGAGTTGGACGAAACAACAAAGCCCCATATGTCATGACCGCACATGGGCGGGTTATAGGTGCACCGCCATGGGAGGTTGTGGACGTCCAACCACTCTGGCAAGATATACAAGGTGGATTCGCCACTGTGCGTCAATGGTCGGCGGGGCTGTGCGTCGACGACAGCCCAGCGATGAAAAAAGGATGGCCACGGCGCGGCGCCAAGAAACTCGGGGCGCCACATGTCGTGACAAGTCGATCTGATCGATGGGCGTGATGTTCATACTGGATCGTACTTCAGAGGAACTTTTGTACACCCAGGCAGCGAGGGCGTTCGATATCGTACTTAACAAGTCGGAAAGGTGCCGATGATTGTGCCTTGTTTGTTCACGGTCCGGATATTCACCGGAAGGTCCACTCTCAAATCACTCTGCTGGATGAATCGATTTATCCTCTTCTCTGGACGGGGCTTCCTTCAACAAAGTTGCTGCACGACGGCATAAAGTCATAATTCACCGACGTGGATGGCGTCGCCGCACAACGTCACGGTGGTCGCACGGGTGCCGAGTGCGGAATTGCAGTAGGTATTTTAACGTTAGGATACAAGGGAGTGTATTTTAGGATGTTCAAGAGAGGAATGGAGAGTCGATGTGAGTGTGCCTCCGTTCGATACAAATGGGTGGCGAAGTGTTGTCTTGACAGGAACAAGCAGTGGCACGTTCACCTCGCCCATTCCCCACAATCTCCTCGACGGGGACGGCCGTTGTGGTGCCATGAGCTCGTCGTACACCCTGCCCCCGCTGCACATGTTGTCATCGGCGGTGTCGTCAGTTGCAGCCCCCACACTCTCGTCAACCCTTCCAATGCGACGACGACTTCCGCTTCCCTTTGCAGGCCACGCCCTCCAGCCTCGTCGTCTGGCCAGTGAAGACCGATCGAGGCCCGCGTCTCCACTATCTCCCGCCCATCACAATAAGGTGATTGTGGTGGGGCTCAGAAAAAGCCTCGATGATGCGGGGCTGAGGAACATGTTTAGCCAGTACGGCACGGTGATCGATGCCAAGGTCGCCGTGGACGACAAGAAGGGCGTTTCCTCTGGGTATGGGTTCGTTACGTTCACCGATGCCGCGGCCAAGTATGAAGCGATCAAGTGCATGCACCAGAGCAGTGTCAACGGAGTTGTCTTGACAGTGCGAGATGTGTCATCCAAGAAGCACCGACTTCTCGACGCTGGCGTCAATAATCCGTCCAAGGCGAATGGCAAGAAGCTCAAAGTCGAGGGCGGTAGCACAGCTCATAGACGCAGGTACGACAACCAAGACACAGAGTCGGACGAAGGAGACCCTATCAAGAGCGAGAACTGTTCGGCCAACACACACGTGGGCAAGTCAGAGGACGATGGCGACGACAATCGCAACCATCGTTGCCGCAGCAACAGGGATAACACGGGAGCCAAAGGCTTCACACTGGAAGACGACGAACGAGCCACACGATTGAAAAAAGATCGCATGCGAAAAACCAAGTATCGCAAGCAAAAGTTGGCCCAAGTCGACTCGCTCAAGAATGAAGCACACTTCCTGGAACTGCAACTGGAACAGCTCAAGGCCAACATGACCGACCTGCACAAGTCGCAGCACGCGCATATAGCCCATGGACACGGCGCAGTATGGCAAAACATCTGCACTGCGGAGGCTGCCAAGAAGCGTGCCAGTCTCGAGGAGCAGGAGTGTCTCTACCAGTCGCTAGTGGAGCACCTTCACATTGCCGTGTCGCTCAAGCGAAGGATGATGGGCAATGGCCCTCGTCATGACGTCCCGGTATGACTGCTACCAGCGTCGAATGTTTAGCCTATTTGTGGTCGGTAGCTGTGCTTCGACCCGCGCGGACAACCTGCGGACCCGTATTGCGCCAAGCACACTCTGTCCAAGCATCCCGTCATGCGCATCCAAACCGTGCGTGCAATGCTCGACGACCAACTTCACCAACTTGCCGACACATTTATCGCCAAGCTGCCGACGGCCGACCACGACGGGCCGTTTGGGCTCGTCCTCCAACATGACGACATTTCGTTCGTAGAAATAAACAAATTTGGTGTCGTGTACGGAGGTGTCGTCGACGTTGGTGACGTCCTGTGGCGCGTCCAGCTGTCGTCGCACGGAGCCAGCACCAAGGTACGTCGCCTTGTCGATGCCAGTGGTTGAGATGTTGGACCAAGGTCGATCTGCTGGACGACCACACTTGTTTTCTCCAAACGTTCAAGAACGATGGCCTGACCATGGATGGCCCGACGCCCCACCACTACATTGCAAAACGGTTCATCGAACGAGGGCGACAGGTGCTGTTGCTCCGCAGCGTTCTCCACGATGAGCTATCGCCTCACCAGAACCCAGCCAAGGACCACGTCGTGTCGTGGGTGGTCGTGGAAGACATCTCGCATCCCCACGACAACTACCCCACCACATGCATCCGAGGGTACACCCAAATGTGTCTGCGCACGGTAGAACCGACGGGCGCGTCGGTGCAAGAGTACAGCGTATACATGAATGACGCAACCAAATGCAACGACTTGCTCAACCACGAACTGCATCGGCACTTTCGGTGTTTGATATTGAATTAACGATCTCGATCGAATCCATGCCACCGTCATGATCTCTTTCGTCGACGCTTGTCTCCTTGGACATGGAACGACCACGGCAGCACGACCTGTCGTCGGGTGAATGACAGCCCTAGATAAATCCCAATTGCTGCGCAGCTTGGTCGATCTGACCGTGGATATCGGGCAATGGACAGTTGTTGCGCACGCTCGAGAGTTTGTCGGGGTCCTTCAACTTGACGGCCATCTCGAGCGCCGCCGTCCACATTTGCAAGTGCACGAGTGTGTCAAACTTTTCGTCGGGCTGCGTGATACGAGACGCGTACGACTCGGCCTGACCCTTCTCGCCTTCTTGTAAACATGCAATTGCAAACGCTTTGAAGCCACAGGGCGGAGATTTCTTCTCGTTGGAAAACTACCATGATACATCACGTAAAGAGATCGACGCGACCAAGAAAGGAGCCGTGTACCTTGTGCAGCGTATCCCATTGATGCGTTTCTGCCAGTGCCTTGATCTTGACGCGGTAGAACCGCTTCTCCGGCACTTTAAATTTCTTGGCGATTGCCGCCGCCACTTGCAGCGACTTGGGCTCGCGCGTGGCGTCCATGCACAGGTGGCGGATTGTGTCGCTGAGAGACATCCCAACGTACACATACGGCCCGCCGCTCGACTTTTCATCCAGCTTGCGCTGCTCCACGAGTAGCTCCATTTGGTCCTCCGTCAGCTTGGCGTTGATCGGAAGTTTGGCGCTGTTGTACTTGGCCATGGCGTCTTTCAGCTTCTTGAGCTTTTCGTCCGTGTTGGGCTCCGTGAACGACGTCAACACGTCATGATTGGCGCTCAATACTTCGTGCCAAATGTTGTCTACAACGAAGTCTCCGTGACGTCGTCTTCGTCGACACAACAATAGAGCACGCACCGAGCTTGGAAGGGTCGGCTTTGGTCGCAATGTAAAAGGACGCGAGAAGGTGGATTGCTTCCGCGTATTGTGGCTCGCTGTGCAGGACGCGCCGAACGTCGTCGGGTGGCATCGTCCGCTCCATATGGAACAGCGTTAAGTAGATCAAGTCTGTGTTACTCGACTCGAGCGACTTGCGAAGTGCCAATTCAAATTCACCCATCGACAAGAGCAAAGGCACTTGGTCAGACGCGTTTTCTTCCAAGTCGAGTAACATGGTTGCCAGTCGATGGCGCCCAGCACGTTCAGCGCAGCTTGCGATTTCCGAGTACGACACCAACGTGGCGTCCTTTAACTTCTTCCGCACCATCGCCACAATGGCTTCGTCCGTCATGGGGACGCCGGCAGGGTTCGAGGCTTCGAATGACGATTTCACCTGAAACACATGTCAGTTGGAAAAACTTCCGCAAGCAACTGGGGATGCAGCGTTCAACCTTTTCGCAGGCCCAATGGACCAAAACACGGTCAGATGTGATCTTCATGTAGTCGCAGATTTTGAGTGCAAGGAAATGATGGTGCATCGCGACCAATCGAGATACGACAACTTCACACGAAAGGCGATCAAACTGCGCCAGCGTCAAGGGAAGCCCAATCGAAGGTTTTCGAAGCGCGTTCAGCACACGGAGCTTGCGGCACATGTCGACGTAAAACTCCGAGTCGTAGTTGGACGTGGCGCCACCGTTGCCGTCGGCGTTGGCACTCGCCGCGGCTATTGAGTCGCTATTGTCGAAGAAGCATTTGCCATACGAAGCTGCACGAAGCAATGAGCTTTGCGCCGCGTAGTCAAACTCATTGCCTGCCGCCGTGATGCAGTCCGTAATTGCTTGCTCCAACGTATGTTGCGCTTGAATCGACCGAATGTTCTCGTCCGCCTTGGCGTCGCCAGAATCAAACGCATCCAACGCATCCAGGAGCATGGCAGCCGGTGCCGTGCTGCCAATTCGCTTGATGTCCTCGGTCGCGCGGGGCACACGCATGAGAACTTCATGGGAGCTTGAGCTGTAAATGCGGCAGCAGTCCACCTCCTGGCTGAGGACGACAGGTCCTTCATCGCAAGGAAACTTGAGCCACGATCCATGCGGCCCTACCATGATAACCCCCACACTCTGCCAGTACAACAACACCGAGTCCTCTCCGCACCAAAGCATTGCAGCTGGGCTCGTCTTGCTCTGTGTGTCAAACGTTAAAATCTTCTTGTCGAACGTCGTGTTGAGGACGGTGAGCGTCCCGTCTTGCGAGAAGAGAGCCATGAACATTCCGTTCGGGGCAATCGCAATCTTGCTGATCGGGGCTTTCATCGAGTTTTGCAGCTGCATGTCCATCACCTTGTTCGGCTCGCCAGACGAAGACCCTTTGCTCACGACGACAAGGGAGTTGGTTGAAGTCCCCAAGAATACTTCAGGCAACCCGGTCTTGACAAACCGCGGGTCGAGCACTGCCATGCACGTTGGAGGGTTTGTTGGACTCACCCCTGTCTCCGTGATGCAGTACACCCGCGGTTTGACCGAATCGATGTCCAGCGCCTGGGCGATCATAAAGTTGTCCAAGAGCGCAACGAACCCGCCGCCCCACGACTCGATCGAGATCACTTTGAATCGAGAATCCACGGGAAATAGAGCAAATGACGTTTCGACCGCCCCCATAATGCTGTAGCTGACACAGTCGCCGTCGTCAAACACGCACATCAATCGCATTTCGTCTGTCCAAAACATGCCGAACAACGTCTTCTTCTTCGTGTCGTAAGACGAAAAGCTCACGGAGGCAAGTTTCGCCCCGCACGCGTTGAAAATGTACAGCGTGCGGGACAGCGACCCCTTCGAGTCCATCTTCACGAGACGAGACGGATCACGGATCATGGCGATGGGGCCGCCAAACTGTGCCGGGACGACGAGGAACTCCCTCAAGTCGCCGAGGGACGCCACCTCTTCCTTCCACGACGGCGCCATCTCGAACAGTCGATGCTTCTGGTACTGGGCTTTCCCCAGGGCGTGCCACTCGGACGGATCCATCTCGGCGTGGCGCAGTCACTTGGTGACAAGAAGAATGCCTTGGATCGTTCTAACTGGTTAAAATTCCCCACTTTCTTCACCCTAATTGGTAGAATTTTGAGGTCACTCGACCCATCTATCGCACAACAACTTAACTGTTTCAAGTGACTCGAACACACCGACATTCCAGAATTCCACGGCGATGGCGAATGTCAATGTCGAACAGTTATACATGTGATTCAAGGGTCCTGGCAATCGACGACGGGAACAGTATGACGTGAGGCACAGCGAGCGACGCAAAAGTCCTCAAACGTTCTTGGTCATTTCGTTCGTCGGCATGTATGTGAACCCGTCGAAATGATGCTCCTTTGCAGCGGTTGGGCCGAATTGCTGTGTGACGGGGGAGTCGCGGGGAGGTTCTCGCGTCCAGATCGGAGCAACGTTGCCCGTATCAAGTTCGTTGGTCACGACGGGCTTGAACGGTGCTTCGACCTCCTTGCGCAATAATTTATCCCAGTCAATACTGGCAAAGAACGCGTGGTCCATAATTTCCTGCGCGCCGGACGGCCCACTGCCCAATCGCTTCGCGGGGTCTTTCAACAGCAACTACATGCGATGGCATCAGTCACAAAGTCATGGCAGGCGTACACCACGCACCCGTGTCAAGAGGTCCTTGGCGTCCTCGGAAAATGCCGGCGTGAAAATCACGTCGCGGTGCAAGATGTTGTGGAACATCTTCTTGCGGTTTTTGTCAAAGAATGGCGTCTGGCCAGTCATCATTTCAAACAAGAGCGTCCCAAAGCCCCACCAATCGACAGGCTTGCCGTAGCTTAACCCCTTCAACAGCTCGGGCGCGATGTACTCGGCCGTGCCGCAAAACGTCTTGGCACCGTCTGGAACGTCCACATTCTCCTTGGACAGACCAAAGTCGGTCAGCGCCACATACCCCTTGTCGTCCATGAGGATGTTTTCGAGCTTGAGATCGCGATACGCAATGTTCACGTCGTGGAGATGGCCCATGGCCAAAAGGAGCTGTGCCGCGTAGAACCGAGCGCGCTTTTCAGAAAACTTGCGCGACTTGCGCAAGTGGAAGAAGAGCGTGCCGCCCGTGTAGTAATCCATAACAAGGTACAGCTTGTCGTCGGTTTGGAATGCGTACCGCAAGCGAACCACAAACGGGTGGTCGATGTCGCGGAGGATACGGCGCTCCGACTTGGTGTGTTCGACTTGGTTCTTTGCAAACACGTTGGCCTTTTTGAGCACCTTCATGGCGTATGTAGCGCCAGACTGGCCATCTTCACTGCCGTCGTCTTTGCGACGCACGAGCATCACCTTTCCGAACGCACCCTTCCCAATCACCTTGAGCAGGTCAAAGTCTTCCACGCCGAGCTTGGCCTTGGGTGTTTTTTCGCCAAACGACGTCGAACGGTTGCGATCTTCACGAGGATCGACTAGTTGATCGGCACTACTGCTCGAGTTAGCACGCATCGTGCCATTGCTGCCGGCAGTGCTGCTGCCAGACTGCTGGCGCATGAGGCTCTCAGGGGGCGGGAATGGCTTGTTCCCGTCGGACGCACAGTCAGTACATGCGCGCTGAGCAGTTGACGCACCCGGCATGAATAACCGGTCACGAGAGCACGCATTGCACACAGCACGGTGGCACATGCGGCAATGATGGCGACGATCCAAGAACGTAAAGTGGAAGAGACACAAGTTGCAATGCTTTTCGCTCCCAGGGTTGTTGAACTTGCCACTCTGCGTGCGCTTCATGTCGGGGCGGAACGTGTTGGTCGATGTGTCCATGGCGTAGGCATTATCTTCGGCAGAGGATGGGGGCGGTGGTGGCACGTCCGCGGGGCGGTTCTTTTCCGTGTCGACGTATGTTGTGGCGTCGCTACGATCATGGCATCCATGAGATGCATGCCCTCACAAGCTCAGGTACGTGAGTATCCTTTACCGGACGTTCAAGAAGCGGAAGAGCGGGTCCATGACATTCTTGATGCAGAACGCGGCAACGTAGTAGTGGTTGGTGAGTGCACGAGGGGGTTTCCCGGCTGAAAGACATGTGCACCCCGTGCGGTACGGCGCGTCGCCGTCCATTTTGGCTTGGAGTGGCACGTCGTGGTTCACCTCCCAGTACATTGCACGGTGAGCCAAGAGCGATTTGACAGTCTGCGAGTCGCCGTCTTCGATACGATGGGACGATTCAATCAATGCGACTGCACCATTTCGACGCAGGAGAGCTTCGCCGCGCGAGTGCAACAAGTACTTGACCAAGACACCCCCGTATGAGTACCCGATGAAAAACACTCGCTTGGCGTCGGCAGGTGAAACGAACGCGTCCCACACCGAGTCCATGTGTTCTTCAGGCGACGCCGACCCAGGAATCGGGACTTTCTTGTTGGAGTCGCGCATCATGACGGCATTCTTGTTGGGATTCGGCACGATGATACCATACCCTTCGTCCAAGGCCTTGCGGAAGTACGCGAGCATCGACCCTGCCCGGACACCCGAGTTCAGGATGAGGCCGCGACTCCAAATGCCGGGAGAGAGACCACGGGACACCGCGACGAAGAGAACGAGTTTTTTCGCGGTCAGGTAGTTGGACGACACAAACACGTTGCACTTGAGGTGCTGTGGGCTGTTCGATGGGAGGTACACTTCCTGAAACCCCATCTCGCGTTTCATCGTGTCTTGGACATACCCGACCACGGCATTCAAAATTTCATCTTGATGGATGGCAATGTCGTTCTCGTCGAGTTGCTTCCCCGTCGCTTTGAATCGAATCATGCCGTCGTTGTCCATTGAATAGAGGGGGTGCTGAAACGGTAGCGGTTCAGGCTGGGGTTGGGTGGAGGCGGCACTTGCTTGAAGCGCCGACCCGTTGCCTTGCACACGGGTGGACGCTGGTGCACTCGGCGAGCTGTAGGTCCGCATGGGACCCGGCGCCGGGTGTGGAGCAGGGGGAGGGTTCGATGAAGCGTTGCTCTTCTTGCGGCTCAGCCATTTCGGTAGCTTGATCATCTCTGCTCGAATACGGTACTGGTGCTTCTCACTCCCTCTTCCAAGTCACTGATGTGATTGTTCAAAAGCCAGTGTATTTGGGCTATTTATATCGAAGGACGTGATTTTAGGCGTGTTTTCAGGGCTCCCTCGGAGGGGGGACCCTAAATATTTTAGACAAATTTTATATTTGTTACAAATTGCAAGATAACATGACTACTTGTCCAATTTCCAGGACCAGGTCGGGGCCCAATGCGCTCTCCTCAGAGCGACACTCAAACGTTACATCAATTACTGCACCGCCCTTCGCTGTTAACTACGTGGCACGGGCGACACCAGTCGGCGTGCCCACACCAGGGCCATTTTGTCAAGATTTGAGTGATGAACCCGGTGATTCGCAATGAAGTAGTGCTCATGGCAGCCTGTACTCCAGGATAGTTCGAGTGATGTCTATGCGAGACGTGAAAAAGGACGGGCAGCGGTGGGTGGCACGCCAGACTATCGTGGTGTCTCTTGTCGTGTCGTCGTCGCTGGTGTGACTCAAACTGGGTTTCAGACAGAAGGGCTAATTAGGATTCGTGTCATTGCATCGTTAGGAAGGGCGCCAGCCAAGGGCCGCCGACACCATGACGCTGTGTGGCACACGTTGTGATGGATGTAGATAGGACTGTACATCCCGTCCCACATGTGATGCGCTTGAGGCGACACATCAGAATGAGACCGCCTCATGTGATCCGCTGGCCATCCCGACGGTGTCGTCGAGCCGGCCGCCTTCCCACTTGGTGGTTCATCAGTGTAAAGACCAGGCTCACCTGCCTTTCCCAAAAACACTTGTGATGGCAATGAACTGATCCGGATACGTATCCGAAATGTCGCACGTGAATACAACTTGAGGTGAAACTGCCCATGGAGAAACCGACACAGCCGGGTCAAGATGGAGAACGACTACGACCCGAGCATGAACGACGGCAATGGTGCGCCCGAGCAGGAGCCTTCGTCGTACTCGTGGAAACGATCCGACGGTACTGTCCGTGCACAAACGAACGAAGATGCCGACGAAGCAAACGACGTCGAGGAAGTTGCAAGCAACGCAGACGTTCCGATCGTGTCGATGGTCGATGAACTCCCGCTGTTCGCTGACGAAGCGAACAAAAAACTTCATGCGCAAATCCGAGCGAACGAGAAACGGATGCACATTGTGAAGCAGGAAATCGCCGAGGCTGTCGGGCGATACACCATCATGGACGAGCATTTGAAGAATGTCAAGCAGGAGCTGACCAACACGCAATCGTTGCAAAACTCCAAGTTGAAGGAGATTTCAACGGAAGAGCATCTTCGCCAAGTGAGCGACCGAGAAGCGGGTCGCGTCAAGCAAGAGCTGAAGAGGCTCGAGGTCGAGTACAACGAAGTCGAGAACAAGTTGAATGCGATTCAGAATTTCCTCTTTAAAGGAAACGAAGACATGGATAACTTCAAGATGCAAATGAACTGGAACCAAGACGAGATGGAGCAGTGGGCCATGGCGGCCAAGCAGAAGGAAGACGACAACTTGGCGCTGGAAAAGTACACACGAGCCGACGACTCGCGCATCAAGGAGCTGACGTTGGAAATTGAAAAGTTGACCAAGACGCTGCAAACCCAAAAGCAGTTGGTTGAAAACGAAGTACGTGAAAATCATATTCACAAGAGCGTTATTCAGGTGCAAATGACACATATTTCAATAGGCTACAGAGACCCAAGCCAAGCAGATCGAACTCGACAAGACTGCCGAGGAGTTCCGGTCGATGCATGAAGAGCGCCAGAAGCTTGTCCAGCAATGGCAAAGCACGATCGATACCATGAAGCGCCGCGACACCGAGATCGCTGCGGCCGGTGAAACTTTTGCTGCCAAGAAGTTAGGCCTGGACGAAAAGAAGAATGACTTGAGCGAGCACAAGCACCGACTCAAGCTGCAGGAACAGGACAACAATGAACTGCAGCTGAAAATCGCAGCCAAGGAACGGCTACAATCCAAGCTACGCGCCGACCTGATGGCAGCCAACTCGCGACTGCAGGAATTCCGCGATCAAGTCGAGCTGCTCAAGAACCAACTCACGAGTGCCGTGACACAGCTCAACCAGCAGCGATCGTACAATGCCAACAAGAGCTCCAACTTGGAATCAATGAAAGAAGATTTGGACGTGAATCGGAACCGGTACAAAACGACCAAGAAGATCTTGGATTCCTGCATGACCTCGACCGAGGACGCTGAAACACTGGCGAAGAATGCGGAGGCAGACCTGGACGCGATGGAACGAGAGTCGAAGCGCTTTGACAAAGAAATCGCGCTCCTCAAGGACCAGATGTTCCGGAGAAGTCAGGCGCTCTTCACGCTGCGCCAAAGCGAAGCTGGGCTAATTGCGGAAATCTCGGGCGGACAAGCGGCGAACCGCAACTTGCTGGCCAAAATCAAGTTGTTGGACCAGTCAGCACTACGTCAACAAGAACTGGTGTACAATGGCGAGTTTCAGATCCAGCAAATGGAGCGCAAGGTGTCACGGGCGTCTGGAGAACGGTCTGCCGACGAAACGAAGGCCCTGAAAGCAGAAATTGATGCGCTGCAGGTCGAATTTGACGAAGCGCTCGCACAGTACACAATGCTTCAAACGCAGTGCAAGAAGCTGAGTGACGAACGTACTGCTCAAGAGCGAACGAAGAAGGCGTTGTTGAAGACGCGTGAAGAAATCACAGCCAAAATCGCCAAACACGAACTTGAAAACGAAAGCGCAACCAACTCGTTGCGCGCCATATTGCGCGAGAAGGAAGAGCTGCTTGTGCAGGCAGATCTGCAAAAGCTCGAGGTGAAGCGCCTGAAGGACTTGCTGAACTCTCGCGCAGACGAAGTGTTTTCCCTCGAAAACCGCGAGTTCCAGCTCAAGAAGAGCATGGATGAACGGAAGAAGGAGATTTCTGTCCATCGCGAAGTCCAGCGCGCTCAGGTGAAAGCCGCGGAAGAAGAACGGCATAAGATCTCGGTCGAGTACGGCGAGCGGGAAATGCGAGTCAAGAAACTGCAGGCAAAATTCGAAACGGTAAGCTCCCACACGTCATGAATGGACTCGTCCTGACGACGTTTGGTAGCTGTGCAAAACAAGTCCGTTCGGAAGCGCCGATGAAGACGGCCAGGAGCGAAGTCAGGCGTATTTTGTCATCAAAGCTGCACAGCGACGGGAAGAACTGCAGCGCGAAGGCGACGAGCTCGACGACAAGATTCGTGTGGCTGAAAAAGAAGTGCGCGCGCTGACCAAGACACTGCAGCACTTGGAAGGGCGCAACACAGAGTATCGTAAGAGTTTCCATCGTGCGGACATGGTCGGCGAAGAAGCCGCCAAGATGAACCAGCTGGAAGACCAAGTCAAGGCGGCGGAAGACACGTTGTTCAAACGGAAGAAGGAAATGCAGCGCCTGCAGATGGAAATCGAGTCCGAGCACAATCGGATTCAAGAGATGGAGATTCAACACCGCCATTTCAAGGAACACAACGAAAATCTGACAGCGGCGCACACACAGGTGATGAAAGAGCTTGACTTGGAAAAGGAAAAGGTCAACAAAGTGACCAAGCGCATGGACAAACTCGTGCGAGATTACCGATCCAAGCGAGATGTTGCGTCGGTCACGATCGAAGAAGTTGCCCTGGACGCTCACACGGCGAAAGAAATCAACAATGGGTTGTTGTACACGCTCGGACAACTCGCGCACGAATTCCCAGAGCTCAGCGATGTGCTGCAGACAAGTGTCAAAGCGCTCAACTTGCACATTCCTGCCCTCCCTCCTGGTTCGACATCAACTCGGTCTGGTAGTACCAAGAGCAGCGGGGCGACGGATTCGCGCCCAACGTCTGCTCGCAGCGATCGCAGGTACGATGGATGATGTGACAGCATGATGATCGTGTTTGAATAGCGACATATCCGCGAAGAGCACTGGAAGCAGTGGTCGAGGAGCGCATGTACGACGTGCAGCCCCCATGAGTAAAGTCCAAATGAGTCTGTAATTCGTATACGACTCACTGCATTGAATACAACAAAATCCGTGATGATTGTGATGTCACTGAGGCTTCAGGTATGGATCGACGTCGCATGCGCTACCCCAATCGACCGCGCGGCATGATGGTCGACCACAGTGGAGCATGACCTTGAACCCCATCAACATGTCCCGCGCGTTCAGACTGGGCATGACATGTCGAGAATCTCGAAGTATGCACCCAACTGCAGTGACCTCGACGAGAAGCGACTTGTTTCGCCACAGGTGCTTGAGGGCGATCGAAAGTGCTGATGTGTCGTCGGGTTGTTGTGCGACGGTTGCTTTGGCCAGCACTGGAGGTGTCCAACTTCATTCAATTCAGGATTATTTCCACACTCACCTGAAATTTGAGCATTTTTCTATTAATATTTCAACCAATGTATCGAAGTGGTTCCCTCGACCATTAGAAGATGACCTCGTCCATACGATGAAGCGCCAATGACCGCAAGTGCACGCTGCGAGTACAAGATCCTGCGCATGTGCGTGGACGAAGGGATGTTGGGGTGTCCATGATGGTTTGGGATCGACGAGCGATCCTCTGCCGTCAACCACAACGAAAGACCGAATTTCGAATTATCGAAGTAAAGGCAAAATATTGTATGGCTTTGAGTATATATCTTCGAAATTCTTAACGGCAGCGACGCAGTAGCCCCCAACATCATTTTTTCTGTCAAGAACGCCAACATGGCAAACGAACAAGTGGTCCGCCTGCTCTCGTCGGAGGGAGAATCGTTCGAAGTGCCTCTGGAAGTGGCCAAGATCAGCAAGCTCATCAAGGAACAAGTGGAGGACGGCGTGGAAGATGAACAGGAGTTCCCTCTCCCCAACGTCAAGACCAGTGTGTTGGTCAAGGTCGTAGAGTTCATCAAGTACCATCATGTCAACCCGATGAAGGACATTCCAAAGCCCATCGTGACATCGTTCGAAGAAGTGGTCGAAAAGTGGGATCTCGAATTCATCAACCAGCCATACGAGATGATCTTTGAGCTCATCTTGGCTGCCAACTACCTCGACATCAAGCCGTTGTTGGAACTGGCGTGTGCAAAGGTATCTGGCATTATCTTTGGCAAGACGCCCGACCAAATCCGCGAAATTTTTGGCATTGAACAACCGTTCACCCCCGAAGAAGAAAAGTTCATCCGCGACGAGAACAAGTGGCCCGAGTCGGGTTAAGCCAGAGCTACCTCAACAGTCGAATGTCCTCCCCAAGTTAGCGGCGAAACGCGACCGAAATGGCCTTAATAATATATGGATGGTTTCGTCATTGCCGTGTGGACGCGTACATTCCCCTCGGCAGTGGGGTGCATGCTTAGGCTGCGAGCCACGCACTGCCAAGGGCAAGATCGTCCTTGCAGCTTGCGTATGTGCGGAACTCGGAAAGTGTGAGCGGCATTGATATGCATGCATCGATTTCCACGGCACCGAGAATGTACATGCAGGAAGATCTTTTGATGGTACTAATCGCCTTTGGTTAGTACTACCGTCCATGTACTAGTATATTTTCCGGATCCGGATACCTGTTTGTTTTGAAATTTCAAAAGCCGACTGCTTTCGATACACTTTTGCGCAAAGTGATCGATCGCCATGAAAAGCAGCAGCGACGAGAGGCTGAAGCGCAGTCATGACAGCTTATCACCTCAAACTCCAGTGGATATCCGCAAGAAGATGCGCCGGCAAGTTCAAACGGTGTGCGAAGAAGATAGTGAAGCGAATGACGTCATCCCCGCCAGATTGGCAGTGAAGAGGAAGGTTGACAAGCATCCGAGCAAGAGAGGATTTGCCAAAGCAGCGAAACATGTTGACAGCGATGACGACGACGATGCACCCTCGATTCCCGCGCCATCGAACTTATGCCGTGTGAACGATGTGTTTCAGACCCCGCCAAAGAAGGCAACGTCACGAAGCGTTTTTGAAGAAGCAACTGCCGTTAGTGTCGAGCTTGAGAAACGAGGGTCGCCTGGTGGCGATACAGGTCCAGTCCTTCCACCACCTGCACGTGTTTTGACGGAAGAGGAAATGGAACGCCGTCGGCGGAGAAGAAACTCGAAAACGTTCCAGTCGCGGCGAAAGTCGTTGACGCCAAATGCCAAAGCCAAGCAATACGTGTCCGAAATGTACTCGACGATCATCAAGATGTCTTCTGAGAACGTGCGTTGGTTTTCTCTGCAAACTCGAGACCTGATCAAATCGAAATGGTTAGAAAATCAACTCGAAGAACTCGTGGTCGCTGCACCTAATTGATCACATTGACGATATCCTGAGCGGAAAACGGTGAGTCCCAATGGTGCCGACGTCGAAATGATAACACACCATGTAGCCATGAAGATGAGCTACCTGAAAGCGCCGCTGCTGGCGACACGTACAATTTTCAAAAGGCCAGCTGCACCCTTGACGCCAGTGTCAAAATCTACTCATACCGCGTCGACGACACGTGGAATACGTCGTTCAAGGTGCTCGAAAACTTGACTCGTGGAGACGAATCGGCTCAACGTAAGAGTTTCTAGCTTGAATGCTTCATGCCAGGTCATTACTCGTCAGTCTAGATGACGGTGGCGACGACGAAGACGTTGGCGAGCGCCGTGCAACGTCGAAAAAGGTGGATGTGTCACAAGACTTCAATGGTTTATACCTGATGGTGTAGCTGACGGTGGCAAACACGATCGAGACGAATATGAAGAACATCAACATGAAATCCGTTGACTTGGAATTTCAAGTCGACCCGCTCTTTCAAAAGGTAAGATTCTGCAAGATACACTAACCAACTCACGAGGAAATTGCCTATAGATGTCCCAAGCATTTGACGAAGGAGGAGCGAAGGGAATGCTCATGGTCAACTTGGTAAGTTACCTTCTTCCTTGCATTTGAAAGCATGCTGAGATGAAGGCTGAACCAGAGTGTGCACAACGGGTGTAAAATCGTGCTCGATTCGAGTAACGTCAAGGCAGCGAACGACAGCTCTTCGCATCAGCCGCCCGTGGAGGACGATTCCAAGCCTCGGAAAATGATCAACATTTCGGGGCTCACGAAGAAATTGCGCTCGTCGGCAACGGTTGTTGAAGTACGTTGGAGATTTTTTTGCCATGGCAACGTCGAGGTCTGACCAAATGATTTATGTGTTCTAGTCGTTTGACATTTGCCCCAAGCTGGAACACTTTTACGACCAGTTGAAAACTATGAACAACGAATACTTTGACAAGAAGATTTCAGTGCCGCGTTTGGATGTAACTGCGTCGAGCCACAACCGGCGCTTGACAATGTTGTCGCAAGGATTGATCACTCCACGCAAGACGCCTCGAAAGGAGCTGGAAGCAGCATCGACCAGCGGGAAGCAGGAAAGGTCGATGGAGGTTGGTGTTGCAACTCAAGTCGACGATCACGCCATGGACGAACCCGATTTTGGCATGAGTGGAGACGACGAAATGGGAGATTATGAGACTGGAACTCCCCACAACACTCGTGTCTGCACGGTTGGTAGCGTCCAAAACCGAGATCTGGCAAGAGTAAATATGTCAAACTTAGGGTCACGATGAACCAGTCCATGCAGAAAATGCTACGACGACCAAGGACGAGCCGGAAGACCAGCCTGTCATTGCAAAGCCTTTGAACTTTGACGACGAAGAAGACCAAACGGCGTATTTGCTCGAAAGTGCGCTGATGCGGTCTGTGAACGCCGAGCAAATGGACGATTACTCGTTTTTTGACGCAAAGACGCTCAAGAATTGGGCCGGTCCACAGCATTGGAAAGTCAAGCTTCCTGGAATTCGTATCAAGAAGAGTGCCGTGCGTAACCCGGATGGTCCCGCCAAACCTCCTGCCGAGAACGACGACGAGCCAATCAAGGGCAAAAAACAGTCGAAACAGCGACACCCCACCCCAGGCAAGCTCAACTTTAGTCTCGCACCTGCCCAAGTGGCGCAAGCGCTGAAAAAGCCCAAACAAAAGTCGTCGTTGGAGATTTCGGCGCCGATATTAAAGCGAAACGAGAGCAAGGCGGCCGAGCTTGTCCATCCTGTCGACATGCACATCAAGGTCGAGCGATTCTACCAACTGTTCACTCGGCCCAGGTCAAATGTTATGTTCGCGTCGATGATGGCGCCGAACAAGTCCAACACCCACACGACCTACCATCAACCCACTTCTACATTCAGCCACGCCCGTCACGACGACGACAACGGCGTCGACTTTGGCGACGGCGGGAACGACTACTTGAACGATGAGGATGACTTCCAAGGTACGACTCGAGTCGGTGGACCATGCAACACCGTTTTGTGATAGTGTCTGGACTCATCCAAGCCGATCGCATCGTCGACAAGGTCGACATCCAGTACGAACGGTTTGCCAAACGCGTCGACGTCAAGAAACTGAAAGAAAGCATTTGGGACTCGCTGCCTTTTCACAACGCTGACGACGACGCATCCATCCAAGAGCTCACGACCGGCACGGCCAACCTCGAACTAAACAAGAAGGCCGCCGACGATGTCGTGTCGTTCGAAGAACTCGTCCACGAAGTCGCGCCGAAAGTTCCGTCGAATGTCACCGTGTCGTTCTACTTCATCTGCATGCTTCACTTGGCCAACGACAAGGGCCTCGAGCTGGTCGGCCAAGACGACATGAGGGACTTCAAAATCCTCCATGACCCGTCCATCGCGCGCTGAGACCCGTCAGATACGTACCAGTAAATAAATATCTTGTCATGGGCCCAAGCAATCACTGGGGGAATCGCTGCGTCGTCGCCATGGCAGTTTAGGTTGCTGTCCGATGGCATCCGAGGCTTGGCTACAACACTCGACGTACTGGTTGAAGGTGGATATATAGTTACACGGGGCTCATGGCCAACTCAAAGTTTCCACCCACGATCGGCGTCTTCGGGGGCGACGGCGCTGTTTGTGTTGAGGTTTTTGTATGCCGTGACTTTGGTTTTCGTGACTTTCCCGCCGCGTGCAGGGGACAGCAGCTTGTCGCTGCGCCTCGAGTTGGACGACGGCTTGAATCCCGACGGGAGAACGATCGGCATGACCTCGTTGAAATCGCGAAGCGCGTCATCGAAGGCAAAATTCTCAGACAGGATGCTGTCGCGGAGACTGCCGCTGTCAAGCGCATCCGAGAACACGTCATCGTTCTTGAACGACTCGAATGGAAACGCGTACGTGTGGACGACAGCGATCACCATCATTTCAAAGCAAATGAGGACGTTTTGGATCCCATTTGTCACGTCGTCCGTCGTCCAGGAGCCGAGCTGGTGGATGATTTCGAACCGCGACAGGAAGGCAAGGACGACGCTCTGCCAGTACGATAGAAAGAGCACCGCTTTGACGCAGAGGAACTTAGGCACGGGATTGTACGGCTTGAGGTGTGTGCCCAGCGCCAAGTAGAAGAGCACGAGGTAGTAAAACGCATAAGTGACGCTGGCGTTGATGATCAAAGAGAGGTACAAGTACCCTCGGTTCAAGACAAAGTGACCTTGCCCGTACATATCAAATTTCTAGACATGTTGGTCGAGATCAGCATGCTCTCTAAGCATGGAATGCGTGAGTACCTCCAAGATAATCGCAAGCAATCCCGTCAGTGGCTTCAGCACCACGAACTGCATCGCAGCCATTTTACAATCGCGGAGGAACCGTTTGCCCATCTTGATGGGTTGGTTGCAATAGTTGAATGGAAATGGATGAGGAAGGTCCGGTAGCGTTCGTAGAATCTACCTCATTGTCAAGAAAAGTGGAGAGGGATGTAACATACCCGCACGACGCGGTCGTCGCTGCCGTCTCCGAGATATGCCACCATCAACGCGAGAAAAAGATAGATCACATACGCTTCGTAGCAATCGCGAAACATGTCGAGAAACAGCGACCAGTCTTTAAAGCGAAGTGACAACCACGACGTCGTTGCGTAAATAGGCACCATCCACAGAATCCCAATGATCTTGCGCTGCACCAAAGGCTTCGTGAAATATACCAAGTGATTCCGAATGAGCTTCACAGACGTGATCAGCGCAGTCAGCACGAACGTTCCAGAGATAACCCACACAATCAACTGTACACGACTTTCTTCGTCATCCTCTGCATTGAACGCAAGTGGCCCTGCGTCGAAGAACCGACGGAGCGGTGCCGGGTTCTCCATCGAATTGACCATGATGGTTGAAAAATATCTTCGCGTGGTTTCCTTCAACCAACATCCGGATAAAGTCAGCTTCCATGTCAAATGTCATGGGACATTGGACTCAACGACGTTCTGCAACCCGACAACTATCATGCGTCGCTATGCATACACGTCAAGTGGCTGCGCTTGGCACGGCAGTGGCATCTGAGTAGCCCGAGTGATTCCTTCCACGGCGCGGGCATGCGAATTGTGTCCATGCGACATGGAATTCGCCTGTTTGGTCGATACCCATGCAATTCTGGTTGAACTTTGGTTATCCGGATACTACGAGATTAAATACGATATTTCGTTGGAGAGGTTCGAATTTAATATCTGAGGCTCAGAATGGCAGACTGGATTTATCTAAAACAAAGTATGGTGATGCCGAGGGGGGTATTTAGCGTATTTAATTGGTGCCGACGTATAATTATGTCTGATGGGCAGTCGCAGTGTGATTCACTTGCACAATCTCCACATGCGCAGGCGCCGCGGGTCAAGCCGGCCGTGCTGGACGCCGTCTCTGTGGCTCTAGATGAGTCCGATGAAGCCACAGAACCTGCCGTTCAAGTCCCGAAGTGCTCGCTTGTCGACGTCAACTTCCTGTTTCCGTCGTCGTGGGGAAATTCGTCTGCATACCAACGTCTGCGCCACTTGCGATCGATTGAAGCGAGTGCGCTGCGCTACCAACTGGAACGTGAGTCTAAGTCCACGCCTATGAATGAGCGCGACGTACCGGCACTTCGTCGTATCGATGCCTTCATGGAGATCCAACGGCGGGAATGTTTTCGATTGGATGGGAAGAACCCTCACTACTGCTCCAACTCGCACATGTACTTATATGCAGCACGCAACGAAGACGGCGAGATCATTCGAAAGGAGTCCGTTCGCGACCGCGTGTGGCCACCCAAAGAGTTTGCCCTGAAAAACACACCAAAGACAGGTCCGGGGCGCGGCGGCGGACGTAAACGCAAGGTACCTGACAAAACGCCCGCTCAACTGGACGAGGAACGGCTAGCCATGGACACTGGCAAGACTTGCATTGATTGTGGGGCAATGAGCTCCCCGTTGTGGCGCCAAGTCGATGCTGTCGTGGAGATTCCAGACACACTCGCCCCTGATCAAGAGGTCATCATACCAAAAGAAGACATATGTCTTGCATGCTACGTGCAGCGCACGTGCGGATCGAAAGTTCGAGCTGGCCAGCTGTCCAAGAAAAAGAAAGAGAAAGCGTTGATGTCCAAGGCCGTGAAGGACGAGTCGTCCAAATTGAAGAAGATGGCGGCGGCCGTCCCTGTTGCCCCTTCTCCCGCCGTAAGCACACCAATAGTTCCTGTGGCAAGCGCAGCTGAATCAGAAGGTGACGAAGCAGACGACATTAGCACAGGCGACGACAAACGGCGCAAAAAGAGCACGAAAAAATCGTCCAAGAAGAAGAAGAAAAAGTCGAAACGAAGCTCGTCGTCCGCTCCTGGTTCTCCGGCGGTGTCTCCAAAACGATCCACCACTTCCCCGAAGAAATCGAATCCTGTGGCGCTCACCCCCCTCGTTGTTGTGCACGACGACGACAACGACAGTGCCGACATGATTCCACCGCCTCCAACGTCTCGATCAAGTCGAAAGGAGTCGAAGAAGCGGTCGCGGGACGCTTCACCTCGCGTGACGCCCAAAGCCAGCAAATCCTCCAAGAAAGACTCGGCCGCCATCTTACCGATCGAAACCCCCCGGGAAAAGGAGCTACGCGCGAAGGGACAGTATTGCCCTGTGTGCAATCGAACGTACGAAGACGACGATGCGAGCGAGTTTGTGTGCTGCGACGGGTGCGAAATGTGGGTGCACAGCTTCTGCGACCCCCTCATGAATGCGTACGAACAACTCATGTCGAGGAATTTTATCTCTGAGCAACCGTGTCCTTTGTAGGGAGCGACTGCATGCACTGGCCGACACGGATGCGAAGTATATTGGCCCGTGCTGTGCCCACAAAAAGCGCCAACGGTGAAGTCGAAGCTCGAGATGAGGTCTGGTAACTCTGAATATACAATTGCAATGGCAACTTTTGCTGCGCTGTGCCTTAAGTTGTCTAATTCTGGTCGTTGCACGATTCCACGGGCTAAAGCACGAGCTCCACGTTTATGTCTTCCGCGGCCGCTTCGTCCGGTGGATCCTCCACTTCACCATGTTGCGGCGGCGACGTGTGGAACGAAGTCACCAACGTCGCCGTCGCGCTCTTGGCAAACGCGCGCTCGAGCCGCACCTTGGCCGCGACGTCTGGGGTCATGGTGGGCACCGCAAATGCGATGCAAAATTGGAGCGCCACGACTGCATGCTCAGCCACAAAAACTACCCACACCTTGGCGGACGGTGTGATGCCAGGCAAGTACTGCTCAATTTGAGTTGTCGTGAAAGCCACGTGAAGGCAATTGGTGATGACGGCAACGACAGACATCATGTGCAGGACGGGCAACCTATCGAGAGCACTGCGCGTGACATTTCGACAGGTTGATGGCCACACCCGCGCTCGTTGAATCCGAGCAACCATGGCGAACTCAACGATGGACTTACCAGATGCCGATGCCGCTAGCCTTGTACGCGCGCGGGCGCTGCGTCGTGTGGCATAGTTTGAATGCGACGACGCGGAGAGACACGACATTGTTCACAAACGCGAGCAACGGGGCGAGGGGGAACGCGACAGTGAAAAAACTCACGTACCCAAATTGGATAAGCATCTCCGTGTAGTCATCGAACGTGTCGTAGGGGTCAAGATGGCACTCGTCCCAGACTTCGGACGTCGCATGCTCGAGACGCAGGCACTGGTGCTGGGCTCTCGTGACGGTGGAGCGTCCGTGCAATTCCATGTTTGATCCACCCGCTGCGAGGCCGCCGCCAGTGTTGTGGCGCTGGTCGTTGTCGAGCAATTTGGTCGTGGCCTGGCGTTTCCGGCGCAATTGGTACCGCCGACGGAGCAATGGCACCCCAGTCTTGACCACGTTGTTCCACATTTGCCCCGACAACATGAACGTCGCGAGCTGAATGGCCACCCGCAGCAGGTTGTTGCCGGCGGTGAAAGCGTAGTAGTAGAGCGTAGCAAACACATGGATGCACCGAAATGGAAACACTTTGAGGATGAGCGCGCTCTGGTGGGCCGACTCGGTCGCATGGTTCTCCCAAATCGTCATCTTCGTCGCGAGCCACGTGAATGCTATGTCAAGCAGCGGGATGCACAGTCCGTACAACATGGGCATGACAAGGCAATACAACCAGAATGGAGGCGTCAGAATGTCATGGATCGACGACAGCGTCAGATTGTGCTGCTGCAGCGTCGCCGTCAAGTTGTTTTTGATGGCGAGACTCTCTTCCTCGACGCGATCGCGGGCGGTGAACGCCGTGTACATGATGGTCAAGATGGCAGCAATGCAGCCCACGACGACTGACCACGTCACACTGTACTTGAGCCAGCGCTTCCAGCTGCAACGGGAGGACATCGTGGAGAGGCGGAAGGCCGGACGGAGCACCTCTTCGTCGTCTTCGTACCCAAGGACGCCCCACCGATACGCCAGCGAGTTGGCCCGTCGTTTCCACGCAACGAGAAACGACGACGCCCATACCGCCATAAACAGCGCGTACAACGGCGCCAAGGGCTGATCCAGCGAAGCAGTCTCGACTTGCTGGGTAAAGAGAAAGATCCCAACGACAACGGGCGCTACCAGCCACTTTGTGTACATTTCGACCCAGGCAAAGTAGAACGCGACCTTTTCCCCAAAATACTTGGCCACGTCGTCCAGCGGCTGGTTCAAGCAGTGCCGTATCAGCCGACCAAGGCATGCCACCCGCGCGACCCAAGCATTCGACGCTGGCGACGATGGGCGCCAATAGCTGACCCATACATGCCTGAGATACTCCAAGTTCGCCTTGTGCAGCGGCATCATGTGCTCGACGACAGCTCCAAACAGTTCGCTACCAGAGCTGTGAATCGCGCGGCCAAGGGATAGTTGTTCCAGCGCGGCGCCTTACTTGTGGTCATTCAGGCCAGCCCCGCCTTCGTCCGATGTCAGTAAGAAGTGCACGATCGACTGCTTGTCCTTGTCGAGGAATTGCATGACACCTTCGGGGGCGGCTGTCGCGTCAAAATCGACAAACGTTGACCGAAGTTTCGTGGAAAACTCGACCCACATCAAGTCGCATCGTCGCTGCTTTTTCAGCTTCATTTGCTCGGCTCCGTGCTGCGTCCACAGTTGAGGTCCTGTCGACGAAAGCGACCGAGTCACGCAAACAGCATACCTCGAGCGCTTCTTGAGTCGCCTTGACTTTGACCAGGAGCTTCTTCCCATCCAACGATCGAATGCGCTTCGTTTGCAGACCCGCTGTGTGCAGACGCCGCAGCACCTCGGCGCTTGCTTTGTGCGGATTCTTTTTGTAAAACGCTTTCAGATTTGACGAGACGGGTGGAGCCATGCTGAGCCGCCGGTCCGACCCCTCGGCGACTCCAAACTCGTCGGTTCGGGACGGTTTGAAGATAATGGCAAAGTCGAATTCGGCCTCGACCTTGGACAGCGCACCGATTTGTGTCCCTCCATCGTCGTTGGCCGACGGGAGTGCTGCGCGTCGAAGGATCGACGACTTTCGAGGCGTAGAAGTTGTCCAGGCTGACGGAGCCGTGCCTCCGCTCGCGGTGTGGGATGTGCAACCAACTGGACTCTCGATGTCGACGAATATCTCGCCAACGTTCCTGTCAGCACTGCCATGCCCGTTGGCCGACCTGCGACGACGTGGGGAAACCATGGCCTTGGCTGATGCTGGTCCCGTTGTCGCCGCAGGTTGCTGGCGCGAGCTTCGTCGGTCCATCGTCAAATGTACTAAAAATACATCCTGCCAAGAGCGTCCGCATCAACCGTCGGGTGCTCATAGTCAGGGCAGACCACGAACGGCATCTCATGCCGCCACCGTCATCACAAATCACGCTCGCGGTTGGAGACGAGTCGTGGACAGTCTCGATCGAACCGACCCTTGCAGGGGGATTTCACTTGCACGCATCCTGCGGGAAGGACAAGACTTGTTCACTCGACATCGATCAAGGCACAGCCGTGGCATTGTCGACGCCGAGCAATACCAACGAGGAGGACGCGGCCCACGCCGTCTTGAAGTACATACACCTGAGTTTACAGTCCGACGGAAACGTGCAACTGGCGCTGCGACCTCCAACAAAACGCGCAGAAGACCGCACTCTTCCTCTGGCCGCCGCGACGGTCGCACCAGGAATCGCTGCTGACGGCACCGCCATGCGACCCCACACGGCAGAGAACTTTCCAAGTCTTCCAGGCGCCAGCAGGGTACTGCATGCGCCCCCCATCATACTCTGAGATGGTGTCCATCACGGGCTGATCGTAGAGGAGGCTGAGCATAGGTGCTCCGATGGTGCAAGCGACGGAGTCCTTGCCATGTCTTGATCCAGTCCCGTCACCCGTCACCTCTCCATCGCGATCCATCCAAGGCGGTCCCACTCGATTGCACTCGTCCAATTGGGTCAAACTCATCAAGGTCGTGCGGCGCGTGCCAGTCTTCGATTTGGAGGAGGCGGTGCTGCGCAACACGTACGACGTCAAGCTTCGCGTGGATCTCGGGTTTCGCTACAGCGAAGAGATCGCCACCGAAGTGCCAGCTATGATCCTCCTCGAGCAAGCGAGCTTCTTCAACGACAACGTGGCGGTGGGATGGCGATTCTGGGCTACGCTAGGGGACCTCCACTACTCCCTCCTCGCACGGTATCCCCGCTACCACCGTTGCTTTGCTTTTCACCTCCAAAAGTCCACGTCGTCCTTTGCCAAAGCTCTGTCGTACCTCGAAAACGTCGCCGACAGCTCGCTCATCGTCAAGTACGCGGCGGGACTCTTCATGAAGGGCGAGCGAGAACTCCCGTACGAACTGCTCAAGTCGCTCAGTTTGACGTATGCCAGCAACGGATCCAAGCTCGAACCGGCAGTGGTGGTCGACCGCCACGCACTGCTCTTTCGAGTGTCCCTGGCCAACTCGATCATGCACGAAGCCATCCTCCACGTCACCAAGCTGATTGAGCTCGTCACGGCCGATCCATCCCTCGTGCCCAAGGGATACACCATCAATGATTTCCACCTCATGCTCGCTCGGTGCGCGCAAATCGAAGGCGACTATCTCTTCGCCACCAACACGTTCTCCCGCATCCTGGCCGAAACATTTGGCCACTCGACCGTGTACTCGGACGACCAGTTCTTCGCGCTTTGGTACAATCTCGGCACGAAATGCTACGACCAAGGTTCCTGACCCGTCATCTTTGCAAGGCCACGATTCCCTTGGTCGCCTCATGGGGCGCTGTCATGTAGGGCTCATGTGGCTCTGCATCGAGTACTACACACTCGCCTTGACGTATGCCAAGAACTTGTCGATGCGGGCGACGATCTACTACCGCCGTGGCATGGCGTTCTTTTGCATTAACGAGCCGATCAAGGCAGAAGACGACTACCGACGAGCCAAGAGCGCGAACCACGAGGTCAAGCCAGACGTGACCCTGAACGACCTCAAGAAGGACTACTTGGTCGAGTTTAACAAGTTGCTCGATACGCCGGTCGAGGACGTGATCAAGCAAGTGCGCAAGGGCATGGGCAAAACGACGGCCTCGATCAAGGTCATCGCTCTTGACGACGTCGGCGTTTACGACGTCGCGTAGGTCCAGCGCCACTTTCGACACTTCATGCAGCAGAAACGCAAAAAGTCGGACGCGTCTCGAATAATGCGTCGCTTTTCCAACAGTTCCAAGCAGTCCACGAGCATGGACCTTGTCGCGGCGACAACCCAACTCAACGCAGCCACGACGGGGACCCCGCCGGCCATGGCGCCAGGTGCGTCCGTGTCGACTGAACACGATGACGTAACGCAATATAGCGCCGCTGCCGGAGCTGACCCCAGCCGAATTGTTCAAATCCCAGAGAGATTCGGCGCTGAAGTCACTGCAAGCGCTGCATGCCAACTGCATGCACGTGTCGCCATCGCCAAAGGGGGTCAAGAAGTCGCCCAAGAAGCAGCACCCCCACTTGCAATCGATCTCGTCCTTTCTCACGCCAGACTTTGACCGGCCCGAGGTGCGCCGGCACCGATCCATCATGTCGTATCGACGGGTACACCCCCTCTTCGTCGAACGCATTGCTTCACACAGACCTTGTCCAGCTCGGGTACTCGACCGGCAACATCTCGTGCGTGCAGCACTGGAAGGCCATTATCAAGTGCGGACAGCAGCTCTACCCAAACGCGAACGCGATTCAAGGAGCGATTGCCCACGTCAAGTTCTTCCACACAAATGTACCGGGGGATGTGGCGTTTTGTGCTCTAGCGGACAGCGACGGCCAAGTCGATGAAGCGTGTGGAAAGCTCAGCGACGCCGACTACCGATCGGAACTCGACTGCATCTGCCGCATCTTGGACGTGTCCAAATGGATGTCGACGCACGGCGACGGACACCTCGTCGAGCTCGCGGGGGTGCCGGAAATTGACCCAGACACCGGCAAGTTTTTCGTCCACTCCCTGCATAACACAACCGTGAGTCGGCGGCACGCGCCAGCTCGAGACAAGTCGATCCATGGCATCGTGGACAGCCTCGCCACGTCGGTGAATCCGGTCGACGAGTTGCCCCCCAAACCAACCTCATCCACGTTGTATTTTGAGAAACGAATCCGCAAGGAAAAGTCATTTCGAGTCGGCCATGTCATCGAACGCCACACGTCCACGTCGGACCTGGCCATGCCAGACGCCATCACGATCGAGCCCAACCCCCGGCCGTCCAAGCTGCTGCAGGCTACATCGTCCTCGTCAAAAATCAAGTAGCGCCAACGATAACCACCGAAACATTCCTCTAACTATCCAACAAGTTCACGATCCAGAGTCGATCCATACTGGTGTAAGGTATTCGGCTCGACAATTACTTGCTGGGAAGCACAACTGGCTTGACCTCGCTGGCGGCACCGATGGAGCGTGCGACCGATCGAAGCGTTGCTTCGGCCGCGGCCTCTAGCTCTTCTTTCGTCCCGTTGTTGTCGATCACGACGCCCGCCAGCCTGACTTTTTCCTATAAACGCGGCGTGAACAATAGATGAAGCGCGCCAGTGAACCTCAATGCTCATTTGTGACTTGATGCGGGCGATGGCTTTGTCTTTGGTGATGGAATCTCGACGCATCAGACGTTGGAGCTCGGTGGCTTCCGAGCACGCGACAACGATGATGGGAACACAGAAATACTCGAGCAACTTTGTCTCAAAGAGCAGCGGGGCGTCAAAAATGACGAGCTTCCGCTGCTTGATGATGCGTTGGTACAGCAGCTGAACGAACATCTCTTTGATGATGTAGTACTATGCGCCAGCATGACACAAAAGTTTCCGAGACGCGCAATGTCACGTACATGGGTGCAAGAGTTCAAGGACTGACGTTTGCTCGGGTTATTGAAAATGATGCTGCCGAGCATCGGGCGGTTGATCGTGCCGTCGGCGTTAAGAACGTCCTGGCCAAACATGGCAACAATCTTCGTGTGCGCAGGTTTTCCCGGCTCCACAACTTGCCGTGCAATGAGGTCGGCGTCAATGATAACACCGTTGTGTTTCTTAAACACCTCGGACACGGAACTTTTGCCCGTGGCGATACCGCCAGTGAGCCCCACCGCGATCAAGCTGTCGCCCAAGTAGTGTCCAAGCACGGAAAACAGCACAGTGTTGATCGCTCCCATATCCGTGACCTACATGCATCCAATGGACATCATCAGGACACACTCGCAAGCAGGGACTTGCGAAGACATAAGTCGTGTGCAACCCACCAAGGTCACCATCGACATGAGCGCGACGGGAAGTGCATACACAACATATTTCAACATTGGGCGAGCGCGGAAATAGCCAGAGAGGTACCCCACACCAAACCCTGCGAGCAGCGTGAGTGTGGATAGCAGAGTCGTGCGGAAGAGGTCTCCAGGGTTCAGCGGCACCGCAGCTAGGTCGCCCATTGAGTTCCCCTCGAAGAATGGGAACGACACTTCTCGCATGATATCCGGATAAAATGGCAACAACCAATCAGATTACTTGAAACATTTCAAAAGTGCACGACAGCGTCGGCCAAGCGCGCCTCCTCGGCGGCAAACACCATCAGGTGCGACTGCAGCGACTCGTCGGCGCCCGTGAGGAGGACGCTTGGATCGTTCGCCCGCACTCCCTGGACAAAGTTCTCAATCAAAAAGTAGTCGGCACCACCATGTCCCGTCAACTTGGACTGTGTCGACGGACGCGACACAGGTGTGTACTCGGTCGTACGTCGTGACGCAAAGTCAAAATGACGGATGGAGTGCCCGTCGCCGGTGAGCTCCCCCATTGTCCCAAACACTTTGGTCGTTCGAACGCACTAGCCAGGACCCAAGTCCAGATAAGCTACCATGGACTGTACAGGGAAGAGGCGTACGATGGCTTCCGAGAACGCCACCATCGTAAACGATGCCGTCGCGCCGTCGGCGAATTGAAAGTTGACGACTTGATTGTCCACGACATCGTTGTCACACGCGAACACACATCGTCCGTATGGACCGACGCGCAGTGCTTCCGTGATGGAGTCCATGGTCGGCTCGTCTGGACGGAATGAATGCATTTTCGGTCCGCATCAAGGAGACGTACCATGCAAGACAGACAACGGCCAGCCTTGATAGCCCGCCGCGGCGCTGCGATCCCCATTGTACCATGGCACAGTACTCTTGCGAGGGACGACTTCGACGGCGTGTGCATTAACACTTCCAATATCGACAGTCGATGGGGGTGAGACTTCGATTGGAGGCACATTCAAGTAGACCTTCTTGGCTGAGTACACGCAATCGTTCTCGACGGGGCAATCAAGGCATCGATCGGTCGCGCCGGAAGGCATGTTCTCCTGTGAACCGTGGTTGAACCCAATGCCATCGACAGGGAAGGCGCACGTACTGCGCGAAAATGCACGAGCGACCCGAACGACGACACAGCACGAGGTGGCTTCTCCATGAGGAAATGGATGTAGTCGATGTCGTGGCAGCTCTTGGCCATCAACATGAACGTCGCATCTGCCTCCCGACGCCAGTTGCCGCGAACGTAAGAGTGCACCTTCAACAAGACATTTGTGACCATACAAAGGCATGGGCATGGCGGAAGGAGATCCTTCCTGTGAAGCATGCACACAACTGTTGTACGACATACCTGGTGCCAGAAACCGACGGGCTCGATGTGCTGGATGTTGACGACGGTGCCGATCTCGCGTGTAAGTTCGCGAAGTTTGAGCGAGTACGGACTGCAGCGCATGACGTGGCACACGGACAACATCACGTTGTTCCGCTTCACGGCTGCATGAATGCGGAGGCAATCGGACTTCGTCACGGCCATCGGCTTTTCCAGGAGAATGTGGTATCCCAAGTCCGCAAACGCCACTGCGGGGTCTATTCAAAGGATCATTGAGCGATAGAGATGGGATAGAAGAACCTGCGTGCAGGGCATCTTGAGTCGCAATGATCACACAATCGGCGAACTTGGGGGTCGCTGCCGCTGTTGTCCAATCCTCAAAGACGAACTGCGAGGAAATGTCGTGCCTGCGTCATGTCAGAGTCGAAATTCTCCAGCGAAACAAGGGTGGTGTAACATACGTGGATGCCATGTAGTTCCGCCAGTACTGTCGCGGCTCGGCCACGCCGACAACTGCATTCGATTCCGTGAGGCTGGGAAGAAGACGGTTTGGCAAGGCACTTACCCTTGAAAAGGTCAGGGTGTTCTAGTGCGTATTGCGCATACGTCCGTCCACGTTGTCCTGCACCGACAACGATCGCTCGCACGGGTTCGGGAGTCGTTGACGTTGGCGGCTCCATCACGAGAAGATCTTGCTGAAGCCTTTCGCGTCGAAATTTCGATAATTTCTGGAATGTACAAAACTAGCTAAATCCACCAATCAAACTCAACCAATTCGTCGAAACAGTCGGAATTTTCCATAGAAACGTGTGCTTTGTCGACGTTAGTGGCTAATCTGGTGCAGTGGGCGCTTTGCCTTGAGAGGTTTGACCTGACTGCGGATGCCACACGTCGAGCAAACGGGACTAAACTCGCAGAAGAGCGAGAGGCACACGGGACAAACGAATGCAGTCGATATCGTTTGCTTGTGGCAAAAGCACATGGCGCGGAAGTCGACGGACGCTTGTGTCGGCAGCTTAAGCATTTGCCGCGTGTCGGTATCCGCCAGCCAAATCGTAAGAAAGTACTGGACCAAGCCTTGACGCTCCTTTGGCTTGAAGTACAATCCACCCGTGAGATACGACGCTTGCTGCAAGAATGCAGACGGCTCAGTTGCCAACACACACGAGTCGATGGGCACGCGCTTCTTCTGTGCGGAAAAGATGCAATTCATGATCGCAATGTACTGCTCGGCAAAGTCAGGGGAGCTATCGACGATCAAAATCCGAGGCTGGAGCTCCCTGGACTCGTTCATGGCGCGATTGATAACTGCAAGGACGCATTGTTGAGGGATTTCAACACCAAGGCAGGTGTACACGTACAGCACAGAGCAAGCGATAATGCTGCCGACAGCGACGTCTTATTGTTGGCTGGAACAAGTACGCATTGTGAACAAGATTGTGCAAGTGACGGTCATGTACCTTCGTCTATGGGCGACGTGCTCAACTCGGCCAGTTTTCGCCACACTTGTTCCCGCACGCTCGAGAACTGCTCGGCAGAACCTGTTCGGTTGCCACCATCGGGGTCAGGAAACAAGAACACGCTCTTCCCGGCGTGGGCAGCGAGGACGACAAGCCGATTGTTGCGATGCTGCAACAGGTACGCATTCACATACAGCAAAACACTCTCGATCTACCCCTGGTATGAGTCACGAGCGTAGCATTTCCATCGACCGTACCGCATGCTTCAAGCCAAACTCCTTTTCGTTCATCCAGTAGATGGGGTTCGTGTCAAGAATCACCACGAGCAGTCCCCCTTGAGCATCGCCGACGCCGTCCATCGTTCCTGGAATCCAGGTTTATCCGGATGCTACCCTCAAGGTGTATATGTACGTAGTCGATTTATTGTTATCCGTCTATTCTGCTTGTTTCCGACTTGTGATGGCAGCAAATAAGTCGCCTCTGCCGCCCCTACCACGCCCTCGAATGGATGCTAATAAGTCGCCGCCACCTGGGGGGCCACGGCCGCGTCCGCGAATCGCAGAAAGGAAATCACCACGGCCACCAGAGGGTGGGCCATCGTCGTCTCCGGCAGGCGGAACTCCGCCCCTGCCCCCACGGCCACGAATGCTCGCCAAGAAATCGGGCCGGGCTGGGGGCGCGCCTTCGTCGTCACCGGCAGGAGCGCCGCGACCACCCCGACCGCGCCCAGTTCGGCCTCCTCGAATGCTAGCGAGCATGGGATTCGGGGGACGGACTGGGACGGCATCTGCTGGCGCCGGTGCTGCGGCGGCCCCTCCACCAGCTTCAGCGTTCACTTGATCTTTCACTTCCTTTTCAATGTCCGCGCGTAGCTTCAGTTTGCGCATGGGAGTCTTCTGTGGCGGAAATGTCGCCATCGTAGCGACACTTCGCTGTCGCAGCTCCATTACCAACGATTCGACCGCCGGGATTGTGCTTTGCAGTCGCTTTTCTTGGATCTTGAGGCGCTCGAGTCGATGGATGATCCCTGCAAAGCAGTCGACCAGGGAATCGCAGAACAGAATCGCAAGACTGCACTCAACAACACTGCGCGTGTCCGGCTTGTCGTTGGCAGGGTCGCGCTTCCCCGTCAAGTTCATCCCAGACCGGTCGCAAAACATTGTGGTCGCCAAGCGGAGCTCGTTGACAACGTTCAAAAAGTCGGCCAGCTCGACCTTGACCGTGGTGGCGTTGGCCGTCCCTTGCACGTCGTGGGTATATCGTCGCTTAAACCACCGCCCTTGCTCCGCTTCGATCTTGTCCATTTCCGCGTCGAGTCGTTCGCACGCGCCGTTCGCTTCAGCGACGAGTTTGATGTTTTTATAATGTTTCTTGAGCGTATCGGCGCGAGCATTGGCAGTTTTCTCTGCGACCAACCGCTTCGCTTCGGCCAACGCGAGCGCGCCGGCATCTTCCGTTTGGGGTTTCTGTACTTTGGACTCGACATAGACATCGCCTTCGGGGTACCCGAGGTCGAGCTCGTACGCGGGCGCGGCGTCGGCCTTGAGTGGGCACTGCTTGCCGATCAACGGACACCCAACACCGGATTCGTCGCCCCGGGTCAGGTACGGATGCTGGCCCTTGGGACCATACTGCGCCACGTGCCGATTGTACGATGCCACAACCGTCTTGAACGTGTCCTTGAGCATCTTGAAAAACTGCAGTCGACGGTTCGCCATTTCTTCGCCCTTTTGACTTTCCCACTGCAGCGCAATGTCCTTGAGATGCAAGTGCAGAGCGCGGCGCTCCGTCACACTGAGCCCCGTGACGCGCAAGTTCTCCAACACGGACGGATGCGACCGCGCCAGATCTTGCGGGTTGATGCGGAGGATCTGGAGCACATTCGTACGTTTGAACTTGAGCGCGACGTCTCGGGGCATTTTCAACCCACTCGGGCCAGGTTCAGACTGTAGAATTGCTTCGGTACGCGACGCCACATCCACAGGCATCATGCGGCGAATGGCCTTGAGCGCGGCGACATTTTCTTCGTAGTTTTCTTCTTCCCATTCGCGCTCTTTGCGTTCTTCTTCAGCGGCGAATTCGTCGGTCAACATCAGAGCTGTATTGTACTTCTCCATGTCTTGTTCGAGTTTGAAGTACTCATCACGCAGTTGCTTTTGCACGGCCGGGTCCGGATGTGTCACGTCCGCGGACCCGATCTCCCCCATACGCCTGGCAATCGTGTCCACTTTGGCCTTGGCTTCTTCGTACGGAATATCCTCTGCAATCGCAATCCCAGCCTTTTGGAGCTGTCGCTCTACAATCAGAAGCCGACGCAGCAGCATCGCCTGGTCGTTCGACAGGTTCTCCGGAACGGCATGTTGTTGGGACCGACCCCCCGTGTTACTGTTTTGCTTGCGAACGCTCTTGAGCTTCTCGACCTCGGCTTGCAGCTCCTTGATCTTCAAATCGGATGCTTGCAAATCGGCGAAGAACGCATCAATCAAGACATCCCCGATGCCGTCACCCTTCATTTGCTTGCGCACGTCGTCTTCACGATATGTCCCCTCCAGCAGCATCTTGCGGTATTGCAAAAACGCCTCCGAGTATTGCACGTTGGGCAAGCTCTTGGTCTTTTCTTGGATACGTTCGTTGGCGGCGATCAACGCCTTTGCTTCCTCTAGCTTTCGCTTGGCTTCTTCGCCTTGACGCTCGGCAAACTTCTTGGCCTCCTCGGCTTCTTGTAAGGCCGCTTCAACTGCGGCGCGACCTTCTTCGCGTGCAGCCCGGGCGGCATGTTCGGCCTTCTCGGCCTTGGCATTTGCTTCTGCCAGTAGCAGCTTTGCCTCTTCATCTGCTTCCCGGGCTTGCTGGACTGCGTCGTCGGCCGCTTGCTGGGATTCTGCTTTGAGTTTTCCGATTTCGTTGTCACCACCCATGAGAGCTCCACGGCTCGACGACCGATGTCGTTCTCGGAACTCCTTCGCTTTGTTCACATACTCGAACGACAGGGACAGAACTGCGCCGGCCGCGCGATTGCCCAGTACAAGGGGAAACTCCTTTTGAATCTTTTGCATGTTAGGGAGGGACTTGAGCGGCACGGTCAGCGTCGACAGGAGTTCGGACGACCGGAACAGACCATGCTCATCATATACACGAACTTCGAGCACACTGTCGTCTTTGTTTGCTTCAAACGTGACAGTGTTGTCCTGTTTCCACTCCGGCGACCGCTGGTTCTTGATCACCGTTGTTTTGAAAGTTTCGGCATTTAGAGTCACCTCGCACATGGCATTAACCTACAACATGCCATGATGAGTCGGCAAAATAAACTTCGTGCTCCGTGAAGGAATGGTAGGGCATGTACCGTGCTTCCTGCTTTGGCCAGGTTGGTCGCTGACACAACGGTGACGTGCAGCACTGGCGTCGGGAACGAGTCGTAGTCGAATTGGGACAACCGACTGCTGCCGTCGCCACTTGTGAAGGCCGATCGTGGCGCAAAGATCGTCCTGGACGCATCGATTGCCAATTTGAGGGCGTCCATCCACGCTTTCTTCTCGGTCTCCGAAGTACATGCCATGATGAGCTTCTTTTCGTCGGCTTGGACTTCCAGGAGATACGTGCCCGGGACTGCCGGTGACTTGCTGATCATATCAGGGACACCTGGCATGTCGCGCACGGTGCAGCGATGGTGGAGAAACTCGAGCTCGCCGCGAGACGATGTCGAGCTCGGGCTCTTGAAGAACTCCAACTTGGACACGGACAAGACGAAGTAGCGCGCTTTCCATTGCTTGACAATGCGCGATTGCTTGAACATGGTTCCTTTTTTGATCGTCGCATTTTTGTTGTCGCGGATGATGTCTTGAATCGACTTGGACTCATCTTCGACGTCCTTGACAATGCGCGCACTCGTTTCATACTTGGAGACCAACGGTTTGGCACCTCCATCCCTCAGCGGAAATGTGGACGCTGGCGATACCCCCTTGATGCTCGGCTCCGAGTGCCTCGAGTTGAGCCGTTGGACGTCCGCCAAATGATCTTTTGGGATGAACTGGACAGTGCGAGGAACTTTGCTGTCTCGAATGATCTGCATCACGTCAGTGTAACTCATGCACAGAACGTCCGTCTCGTTCACGTTGCACACAATGTCTCCGATCGAAATCATCCCGTTGACTTGGGCTTGGCCTTTCACGGCCTTGACGACGGCACCATCGATGCCGAAACGAGTCGCGTCCTCCAAGTTCAGACCCATCGGCCCTTCTTCAAACACCACGGCGTATGTCGGGAGCTCTGCCCCACCGTCTCCACCCATTGCCAGGGACTCCATTTCTTCGCGCTGTTTCTTTCGTCGTACTTTGTCGCGACGAGACTGCACAATCTCAAACGAGATTGCTAATGGGCGCGGCATCTTGCGGATCAATTCGATGGCATCACCAAACCCGAGGTTGTCAACCGACTCCCCGCCAATGGCGACTATCAAGTCGCCCGGCGCAACCCTGCCGTCCAATACGGGGTTGTCGATATTGTCAATACTCAGACCTTTGCAGATCACACCATTCTTGGGCGGCATCAGCTTGACACCGAGTTTCTGTTTCGCGGGCAATTCAATCACGATCACGGTCGCGACATCGTTTTCCGGGTGGCTTGTGGCCACGATGGAGCTAGCGCGCGACATGATCGACGTCGACGTTGATCTCAAGGAAGACAGCGACGTGCACGCGACGCACGCTGGGGTATTGTCTTCATTTTTCGAGTACTCGCACTTGTCACATGTCCATGTCATGATGGATTGAGCTTCTCAACTAGCAGCTGACAAGAGGAGTCCTTCGGCACGCGAAAGTACGTGTGGAGAATCCAATGACAAGTTAGATCGAGGACCTGCAGGCTCTTTCAGCTCGTCGGACGCTTGATGGGGTCGCCGACTTCCGGGAGGGGCGCCGAGAAGCTGTTCTCTACGCCACACTTTCAGTCACTTTTAGATTTGACTGGGTAGAATATCCGGATAGCGTTACGTCCTAGGTGGAGCAACAACCGGAAAAAAAGCACCACAATGTTGTGGATACCAAGAACACATTCCAGCCTCCACCGAAACCATCCCATTGGTAGTCTTGGTGCGCTGCTGGACGTGTTCCAAGCGAGGGCATGTACTGACGACGAGATTCGGGGTGTTTATACTCTGAATCGGATATGTTTCGAAGGCATCGGAGATATTGGCAGGTGACGTGAGGATTTGCTTGTTTTTTCAGATAGAACCCAAAAACACGACATTGGTCACTAACATTAGTACTACTAGTAGTATCCAGTGGTAACGATGGGGCGTGGAGTCGCCTTGACCATGAGGGGCGATTGTGTATACAACACTTGAGAGTGTTGCAATGAGCCATAATAGGATGAACAAAGGGCAGCAATACGTGCCTGGAAGCTTGGCAAATGCAGAAAGTTCCTGTCGTCGTGTGAACGAGAGATTCAATCTACCATGTCCTGCTCCCTCGAGCACTGCGTGGGTTTTATGATAGTCTTTCAATGGATAGAATCGATCCGATTGGCCACTTCGCAGAGCAAGATCGGATTTGGCCAATGAAAATCATCCATTTGAAGTAGAGCTGTTACCTGATCGCAGCAAATCATTTCACAATAACTCTTTAGCCAATCAGCGCGATCGACGAACCGATTTGTGAAAGAATATCCATCCATATCAAATCCATGTAGACACAGTGATGCCTCGATTTTTACACCATGGGTAACTCATCAAGTATAAAAGGAATCAAATTCAAAGGTAACGTAGGTTCTCAGTGATCAGCCGAATTTCAGCTTCGTAAACTTCAGTGTATCTCGCGAAATTTTTACAACTAACGTCGGCTCTCAGTGATCGGCCGAACTCTCAGTGATCAGCCGAGCTCTATCACCCAATAGAATCGCAACAATCTT